CAGACCTGCAACTCTGAAATTACTGCAACAGGGAGTACAATAAGCCATAGGCAGAAACTTAATAAGAGTCCCAGGGACACAGTCAATAGGAGAGAGACTTGACAAATAGGATTACATCAAAATAAAAAGTTCTGCACAGCAAAGGACATAGTTACTAAGCTAGAAAGACAGCCAACAGACTGGGAGATCTTTGCCAGCAATATATCAGACAAACAGCCTAATATCCAAAATATACAAAGAGCTCAAGAAACTAACCCCTCCTAAAGCTAATAAACCAATCACTAAGTGGGCAAAGGAGCTAAGGAGAGACTTCTCTGAAGAAGAGGTAAGAATGGCAAAGAAACACTTGAGGGCGGGCACCTGTGGCTCACGCCTGTAATCCTAGCTACTCAGAAGGCTGAGATCTGAGGATCGGGTTGAAAGCCAGCCTGGGCAGGAAAGTCCATGAAACTCTTATCTCCAATAAACACTCAGAAAACCAGAAGTGGGGCCGTAGCTATAGAGCACTTGCCTTGAGCTGAAGAGCTGAGGGACAGGCCCAGAGTTCAAGCCCTATGATCGACAAAAATAAAAAATTAATTAATTAAAAAAAGAAACACTTGAGGTAATACTCATCATCCCTGGCCATAAAGGAATATAAAGGAAATATAAAGGAAATATAAATCAAAACAACTGAGATTCCATCACACCCCAGTTAGATTGTCCAACATCATTAAGTCAAACAACAATAAACATTGGTGGGGATGTGGGGAAAAGAAACTCTAGTACCACCACTCTGGGGAGCAGTCTGGAGGTGCCTCAAAAAACTAAAGAGGGCTGGGAAGGTGGCTCAGTGGTAGAGTGCTTGCCTTGCATGCATGAGGCCCTGGGTTCGATTCCTCAGCACCACATAAGCAAAAAGAAAAAAAAAAGCTGGAAGTGGCGCTGTGGCTCAAGTGGTAGAGTGCTAGCCTTGAGCTGAAGAGCTGAGGGACAGCGCCCAGGCCCAGAGTTCAGGCCCCATGACCGGACCCTCCCCCCCAAAAAAAAACTAAAGCTAGATCTTATCTATGACCCAGCCATACCACTCCCTAGCATCTACCCTGAACATCACAAACCAGGATACTGTCAAGACACTTGCACATCCATGTTCATTGCTGCACTATTCACAAAAGCCAAGTTATGGAAACAGCCAGATACCCTACAATAGTTGAGTGGATCAAAAAATGTAGTACCTATATACAATGGAACTTTAATACAGCCATTAGAAAGAATAATATGTCATTTGCAAGGAAATGGATGGACCTAGAACAAATCCTGTTAAGTGAGGTAGGCCAAGCTCAGAGACAAACAGTGCATGCTTTCTCTCATGTATGAAAGCTAGATCTAAAATATGCCAGGACATAATAAAAGATACAGGACTCCAGGCATTCATGTACAGTGAGACTGAAGGAGAATATTCTTAGGGGAGGAACCCAAGGTGCAGTGTCTATGTGCCTCTGATCTACATGAACTGCAGGAAGTAGAAACAAGCAGTTTTTTTCTTTGTTGCTTTTTTGTTTTCTTTTTGTATTGCATGTTCATTTATCTGTCTTTGGGAGGGTAAGAGGGGCACAGAAATAAAGGGATAAAGGGCGAACAAATGCAGCAGTGGTGCTCACTAGACATTATGTGGGAAATGAACTATGTAACTTGTGGATGGGGATGGGAGAGAAAAACTGGGAGAGTGAGGGAAGGGGTGACATCATCCAAAAAGAAATATATTTTTAAAAAGAAAGAACTATATTGCATCATTTGCAAAGAAATGGATGGACCTGGAAAAAACGGTATATTTATTGAAGTAACTCAGAGCCAGAGAGGAAAAGGATCTATGTTCTCTCTCATAATTGGAAGCTGGAACTAATTTATAAATGTACAAGTACACAAAGTTGTATGTAAATACACCCAAGTGAATTAACTGAAGTAGGGTATTTTCAGGGGAGAATTGGAACAGTGTAATTCCTTAGAAAACTAACTCACTGTCCAGTAAAACGAATACCAGGAAACTGGCACTTGAAAGATGCAGGAGGGTCAAGGGGAGGGAGGGAGAGGAATGAAGAGAGGGGGGAATGCAGTTATAATATTCAATGTATATCCTATGCAACTAAGAAAATTGAGGGATAGGGGAAGCTTGGGAGGGATGGACAAAACAATGAAAGGGGTGACAATCATCAAGATGCATTGTGCTTATAAACAGATTTGTTGAGTGGTAACTCCTTTGTGGAACTACTTAAAGACTATATATATATATATATATAATAATAACATATATTATATAATATATATATATATGTGTGTGTGTGTGTGTGTGTCTGAAAAGAGCTGGGTACCAGTGGCTTAGACCTGTGATTCCCAGGTACTCAGGAGGCTGAGGTCTGAGGATCCAGCCCAGTCAGAAAAGTCAGTGAGACTCTTCAATAAACTACAAAAAAAAAAAAAAAGCTGAAGTAGAGCTGTGGCTCAAAGTGTAGAGTGCTAGCCTGGGGCAAAAGCAGCTCAGGGACAGTGCCCAGGCCTGAGTTCAAGCCTGCAGAAATGCAGAAGCCAGCTCTATAATGACTGTCTAACAAAGCAGTAGGACCAATCTTCTCTGAAGAGTTGTGGACTGCAAACTAAGAAAGCATTCTTTTTTTGGGGGGTGGGGAGAGGGTGAGGGAGAATGGTTCTAGGGTTAGAATTGGTCTTTCGTGCTTCTTCTGTATGCTCCTTTCTTCATTTATCACTCTACCATGTTAGCTACAGCTGCATCCAGACTAGTTTCTTGTTTTCTTTTTCTTTCTTTCTTTCTTTTTGTCAGTTGTGGGGCCTGGGTGCTGTCCCTCAGCTCTTCAGCTCAAGGCTAGCACCCTACCACTTGAACCACAGTGCCACTTCCAGCTTTTTTTGCTTATGTAGTGTTGAGGAATCTAACCCAGGGCCTCATGCATGCAAGGCAAGCACTCTACCACTGAGCCACCTTCCCAGGCTAGTTTCCTGTTTTCAAGATTCATTCTTGTGGACTTTTCTTCTCAGGCTGAGAAAACATGTTCCTGAGAAATCTAAGATGGCTAAGTATTTAAAGCCAGACTAGAAAGGTCATGCCTCATAGTCTAAAAGCTTATCTCGAGTGACATCTTTTCCCTAAATTCCTTCATCATGAAATTCTTTTAATGGTGTTTATACCATTGTTTCATTTGCAGAGGTGGAATGACACCAAAGCTAGTCATTTATAATAAGTATTCACTAGTAAGAGCCCCAAGCTCTACCAGTAGTTTGATATGCACATTTGTGACAGCCTGAATGCCCAATGAAATCTTGGTGAGAAATACCTTCTTTTCTTGTTCTTCTGGTCCTTTTGCTTATTTTTCTATATCATTTTCATCCTTTTACTAGCTATTATATTTAAGCCTAGAGATATTCCATTTTCTTCTTCAAAGTCTCTACCTACCTAACAAGTAGCACAGTCATTGTGTAATTCCAGGTGATGCTGGGAGTATAAATTGTCCTGCACCAAACCCACCCTCACTTCTGTTGTCAGAATTCATTTGAACCATCACATTGATAGGACACACCATCCCAGATTTCCCTGAAAAAGGACTACAATCACAGCTAGGTTCCAGTGGCTCATACCTGTAATCCTAGCTACTCAGGAGGCTGAGATCTGAAGATCACAGTTCAAAGCCAGCTCAGGCAGGAAAGTCCATGAGACTCTTATCGACTATAAACCATGAGAAAATCGGAAGTAGAGCTGTGGCTCAAGTAGTAGAGCACTAGCCTTTAGATGAAGAGCTGAGGGACAGCGCCCAGGCCCAGAGATCAAGCCCCACAACGGAAAAAAAAAAAATTCTACAATCATAACTATCACGAAATTAATCTCCTTCCTGAAACTGACAAACCAATTTCTACCACAAGCATCAGTAGAGAATCAAGTCCAGTTGCTACAGTTTTCATAATTTTTAATATAGTTGACACTTTGGAACGTACTATGTTTCATTCCTTCTCTTTTTCTCTGACCAACATACTCTTTCCAATGCTCTGTAGCCCTTCTCTGTCCTCACTGGAATTTCCCGAGCTTCCTTCACCTGCTGTGTTACACTTCCCAACACTTTATTTCTTCTCTGATGTTGTTATACAGGAATTCAATCCCAAGATACAAAGAAGCCACATTTTTGGGGGGGAGGGACCCGGTCGTGGGGCCTGAACTCTGGGCCTGGGCGCTGTCCCTCAGCTCTTCAGCTCAAGGCTAGCGCTCTACCACTTGAGCCACAGCACCACTTCCGGCTTTTTTCTTTTTGCTTATGTGGTGCTGAGGAATTGAACCCAGGGCCTCATGCATGCAAGGCAAGCGCTCTACCACTGAGCCACCTTCCCAGCCCCAGAAGCCACATTTTGAGAGGTTGAATCAGAAGTCTTTGTTAGAAAGCCAGCAACTGTAAGCAGACTCACGTCCCAGACTTGCAGCCTCAAAGGCAGTTAATACTATTAGGAAACTGAGTAAAGAAAGAGTAGAAAAAAAATCTCAACAAACCAGATCAACTCCAATGGAGAGTTGAAGAGGGACACCATGATGATCTGAGGAGAGGCAGGAGGCATGTCACAATGTCCACTAGCCATAAGCAGGGTCATGGCTAGAGGCAGGGTCACAAGAGCTTGAGAGTTCAAAGTCTCTCAAGTCCATGGTGCAGGTCTGCCAGGTCCAGGAACCTATTGTCCAAGTCCTGCCCCTGCCTCTAGGAATTCAAGTGCCTATCACCTGGGGAGGGAGATGGTAGGAAGTGGAATTTCACGTCTAGAGTCCCCATCATCCACCAAGATGCCAAGTCAGCCCCCTTAAACCCAGCATCCATATTTCAATGTCTACCATTTCTTCTTTGATGTCTACATTTTCCCACTGCACAGAAAGGGTTTTCATTAAACTTGTCCTTTGTGAGGGCCTGGTGCTCCCCATAATGCCTATCATTTGCTGACAACTGAAAAGTTTCTTGTTGTTCTTGTGGTTGAAGGTGGTGAGAGCCACCATGAAGGAGGAGCTAGAGGTGGCAAAGAAAAAAGCTTCTCTGCGCGACCTGCTCCATGCTCCTGCCCTGCGTAAGCGGATCTGTCTCTTGGCCTTTGTGAGGTAGGCTTCACCCCGTTACTATTTCAAGAGGCATGATTTGTATTACTTATCTTCAATGGCTCAAGTCTGTGTGTGGTAGATTTAGAAATAAAAGACACCAGAGACTGCACACAGTTGCTCTGACTAGATGTATCCAGAGGGCTTTAAAAACACTGAAACAGAACTAATGACACAGTGAGGTGTTGATATTTTTCACATCCCCCTGCCAAACTCTTCCTCAGAGACTGAAAGCTGAGAATTTGAGTCATGGTACAGATTTTGGCTCTGAGTTTCTCCATTCACTTATTTCCATTAACAGAAGTAAATTTTCAAACAGTAAAACACATGAAGAAATGTAGCTTCAGGGCTGGGATGTAGCTCAGTGGCAAAGCACTTGCCGAGCAAGTGCAACATCCTGGGTTCGATCCCCAGGACCAAAAGAGAAAAGACAAAAAAAGAAAAAAGAAATGTAGCTTCATATGCAGAAACTGACCTAAAATACCCAAGGAAATGATAAATTATACAGAAGGACTCTAGACATTCACACACAAAGAGACCAAAGGAGGATACTCTAAGGAGAGAGACACAAAGGCACAATGTTAAGTGTGTCTGATCATATAAAGTAATATTTATCGAAATGAGCACTAGGAAATGGACACAAGAGGTTTTTTGCTTTGCTGCTGTTGTTGTTGTTTTCTTTTTGTCACTTTTCTCATTTATCTGTCTCTGGGAAAGTCAGAGGGTACTGAAATGGAGGGACAAAGGGTGAACAAAGGCAGCAGTGGTACTCACTAGACACTGTGTTGAGAATGAACTATACAGCTTGTGGGTGAGGACAGGAGGAAAGGGGTGACATTGTCCAAAAAGAAACATACTCTTCACCTGACTTATCTAACTGTAGCCCCTCTGTACATCACCTTTATAATAACAATAAAAAGAGATATGGCTTAACAAATTTTTATATACATAGTTAAACTTTTCACTCAGAAGATCTAAAACCCTAGAAAGAACTCATTATGTGTCATCAACACGACCCTATACCTTCCCAAATATCGTGGGATTACTTTTTTAATGACTATAATATGATCACTTACCAGGGAAAATATGGAAAATAAGTATGCCTTTGTATTTTAATGACTAAAACTGCCGGTGCCAACCTCTAGAACTCTCTAAACCTTATGACATGTGCTTTTCCTCTCTGTTCACTACAGATTTACAACTTGGACATGCACTTTCGGTCTACTACTCAACCTCCAGCACCTGAGTAGTAATATTTTTCTGCTTCAGATTCTCCTTGGTGTCCTGTTCTTTCCAGCCAATTGTGCATCATTAGTTGCGCTGAATCACCTGGGCCGCCAAATAGGTCAATTCCTTTTCATGTCCTTGATGGGCATCTCCATTCTGGCCACCATCTTTGTGCCTCAGGGTGAGGAAAAACACGAAGAGCGGGAAAGAAGTATCTTCTCCTTACTTGACTTTGTTTAGATGACACTCTTTTGAAATCATAAGAAAAAGAAGTTTTTTTCTAACAATTCCCTAAGAGCAATCCAGGCATTGGGGATACATTTTGACATTGAGGTACTTGGAGGAAAGCCAAAAGTCAGGATTTTTGTTGTTGTTGTTGTTGTTGTTCTAAGATATAATTGTCTTCATGTGAAAAGTATGTCATTTATTCCCAAGCTACTCTAGGTCGGCAGCGGATCATTTGCTCATTTGTCAGTCACATTTTATAGTGAGCTTGTTGAGCCTTGTGTTTGTGTCCTATTCAGATTAAACTATGCTGCCATTTGTTCTTTCCAGCTTTGTCTTATTACTTTGTCTTCAGTGGCTATATTTCCTGAACTCTGATATAGCCACTCATGAATCTCATTTTAAGTCGTGATGAATGCAAATTTGGCTTGGAGAATTACCTTGCAAGAAAATAAACATTCCAAGCAGGGCACTGGTGGCTCACACCTGTAATCCTAGCTACTCTGAGGATCAAGGTTCAAAGCCAGCCCAGGCAGGAAAGTCCATGAGACTCTAAGCTCCAGTAGACCACCAGAAAACCAGAAGTGGTGCTGGGGCTCAAAGTGGTGGAGTACCATCCTTGAGCAAAAGGAACTCAGGGACAGCACCCAGGCCCCGAGTTCAAGTCCCATGACTGACAAGAAAAAAAAAGAACATTCTTTGTCATTAGAAAAGATTTATGCAGAAGTCATAATATATTAATATATTCATTACTAAAGACTCTTAGAATCAATCCCACAAATGGAATGTGTCTGTCTATGTCTATGTCTATGTCTATGTCTGTGTCTATGGGGACAAGCACATGCTTTTCTAAATTTGCAGTCCACAACTCTTCAGAAAAGATTGGTTCTACTACTTTGTTAGACAGTCATTATAGAGCTGGCTTCTGCATTTCTGCAGGCTTGAAGTCGGGCCTGTGGGGACAAGCACATGCTTTTCTACATTTGCAGTATAGTCACGTGTTTGCAATATCCCAAATTGAGGGGCTCAAGTCTTTTTTTTTTGGGGGGGGGGTCCGGTCTTGGGGCCTGAACTCTGGGCCTGGGCGCTGTCCCTCAGCTCTTCAGCTCAAGGCTAGCGCTCTACCACTTGAGCCACAGCGCCACTTCCGGCTTTTGTTCTTTTTGCTTAAGTGGTGCTGAGGAATCGAACCCAGGGCCTCAGGCATGCAAGGCAAGCGCTCTACCACTGAGCAACCTTCCCAGCCCGGCTCAAGTCTTTTTATTTGTCAGCAGTGACATCAGTTTTCTGCTTTACCTCAAAGTCCATTCCAGTGTTTAAAGCTCTCCTATGATTTTTTAATTAAACTGAAAAAATGTTTAATTCCTTCAATTGTTTCCAAAATCTGACATTGTTTCCTAAATGAGGAATTCTTTGGTCTTATTCTTAAGTCTTGAGACTCAATCTTGAGGATTCCTTCAAGACTGCCCATCTGTGTCAGACTCCACTAATATTAGCCCTGGGTTAGCAATGTACTTCAACCATGATTTTTTAAACCCCTAGAGTACTTGGATACAGCTTAATAATTTCCCACATGGGGGGGGGGGGTGGGAGGATGGGAAGGGATGGGAAGAGGAAACAAAGGAGGAGGCAACAATGCTTGATAAGAAATGTACTCATTACCTTGCCCATGTAATTGTAACCCCTCTATATGGTATTTTCACAATAAAAAAAATTTCCCACATGATATTGCTACATTCTGCTCAAAAGGCAGGGGAGACACAGAACAAAAATAATTTAAAAGAACTCCTGAATTCATCTTGCTTTCCTTCTTTGGCAAATGTCAGAGCTACAAGGAGAGTGAATACCATTATTCAGACCCCTTTATTCATCAAACCCCAAAACATATTGGTAAGGTATATTTCCTGGCTTAATTGCCATATAGGAATTCTGCCTCTTTACAGTTTCTCTACTATGTGCTTTGCACTTGTCCACCATCCATCAAGGTTGTGTTCCACTAGTGCCTTGGGGAATGCTGAGTCCAGCATCTCAGACTTCCTGACTCTCCCTGGTCTTCCTTTCTCCAGAAATGCAGACCCTCCGCCTGGTTCTGTCAACGATGGGAGGAGGACTAGTGTTTGCTTCTGTTAATGCGTCTCTTGCCCATGCAAATGAACTGATCCCCACCATAATCAGGTACAAAACCATTCCCTGTCAGATCCAACAGCCTAGTCTCAGCTCACTGATTGAATGAGGGAAGAGAAGAGAAAAAGGACTGAATAGTTATCCACATCCATCCATTCTGATGAAACAGTTACAACTGAAGTTTAGTGACAGCTAGGTTTTTCTACAGTACTTTTTTCTTTTTTTTGTCATGGGGCTTGAACTCTGGGCCTGGGTGCTGTCCTTCAGCTCTTCAGCTGAAGGTGAGTGCTCTACCACTTGAACCACAGCTCCACTTCCAGTTTTTGGTAATTAATTGGAGATAAAAGTCTCACGGACTTTCCTGCCCAGGCTGGCTTTGAACCACAATCCTCAGATCTCAGCCTCCTGAGTAGCTAGAATTACAGGCATGAGCCACCAATACCCAGTTTTCTACAGTACTGTTAAAGGCACTCATATGTCACTAATCTATACCTCATGCAATCTTTGGAGTCACCCAAAACATAGGCACCAAAAATAATATCGTTAAATGCCATACAAATGTCTATGTATTCTTTGAACTTGAGAAAATGCTAACCAAAAAAGCAAAACTTTGTAAGAGTCAGTCTGCAATCTCCCTGCATTGCTATATCCCATAGTGTATGTAAGATGATAAGTCACATGTTTCAAATGCCATGAGGGCATCTTTTTTTTTTTTTTTTTTGTCAGTCGTTGGGCTTGATCTCTGGACCTGGGTGCTGTCCCTGAGCTCTTCAGCTCAAAGCAAGCGCTCTACCACTCGAGCCACAGCATCACTTCCGGTTTTCTGGTGTTCTATTGTAGCTAAGAGTCTCACAGTCTTTCCTGCCGGGGCTGGCTTTGAATCGCGATTAGCTCTCAGCCTCCTGAGTAGCTAGGATTATAGGCATGAACCACCAGCGCCCAGCTCATGAGTATATCTTTAACATATTATTTCTGTATTGTGCTTTGTGCTCTAAGGGCCACAGCTCTAGGATTCATTGGAATTGCTGGTAGCATTGGGTCCTCGCTGTCTCCCCTGTTGATGATTCTCGTGGTTTATTTTGCACCCTTGCCCTGGATCATCTATGGAGGCTTGTCTATTCTTGGTAGCCTTACGGTCTTCCTCCTTCCTGAAACCAGGAACCAGCCTCTGCCTGACTCCATCCAAGATGTGGAAAATGAGTGAGTTAAACTTCTGGCTGTTCCCCGGGGAATCATGTGCTAGAGATCTGTGGTGAGAAAGGCAAACACCATTCAGAGTTAGAGTCTCCCAGGCTGGCAGTGGAAGGTTCTTTCCAAGTGGTCAATGTCCTTGGTTTAGGAAGTGTCACATCCATTGCATCAGTGACTTCAGGTTTGCTATCCATGACACTTGCTAAATTACACACCAGAACCCAAAGGTACTGCAAAAACGTGGATACCACCAATCCCATACTTCACTCTCCAGACACAAGTACTCCTCAGCCAAGGGAGCGCTGCTAAGATGCATGTTGCCAGCCGGGTGCTGGTGGCTCACGCCTGTAATCCTAGCTACTCAGGAGGCTGAGATCTGAGGATCGCGGTTCAAAGCCAGCCCGGGCAGGAGAGACCGTGAGATTCCTATCTCCAATAAACCACCAGAAAACCGGAAGTGGCACTGTAGCTCAAGTGGTAGAGCGTTCACCTTGAGCTGAAGAGCTGAGGGACAGCGCCCAGGCCCAGAGTTCAAGCCCCACGACCGACAAAAAAAAAAAAAAGATGCATGTTGCTGACAGTTCCCGTAGGTTTTTGGGTCTGCCCTGGAACCGGAGAACTTGGGAGAGATTGCATTCAGGGACTTCAACAGATGACAGTGCCACTTATGGGAAAGATTTATTCTGTTGCCTGTGATATTAACTATGAATGAGGGTATTTTCAAAAGATTAATAAAAGGAATGATAAATAAAGGTATTTTAAAATGAAGAAGAATTGGGAGGATTTTAAAACTTTGCTATACCTCCCTTTTCCCAAAATAAAACCCTTTGGAGAATGCCATGATGTATAAAATTGCAGTAAATAACTATATAACTATAACTAAACTATAACTGTAAGCTATAACTATGCGTGTGATATTAATATAAATATAATTAACATAAATATTATAAATAATTATATATAATTAACATAAATATTAACATATAACTATATTTATCAGAACTGCCTTCCTAAGTACATTCAGGGAAGTTGGTCTCAAATCTTTACACAGGGGACATAGTTTTGGTCAAAGCTGGATGGTGAAACACAAGTTTCCTCTAAAGAATGCAAAAGATAACATGTTTTCATGATGTCCTTTAATTTATATGTTTCTTTGCTGTTTTTACTGTATCTTTTCCAGGAACAAAGCTTCGAGACAAGCAAAGCAAGAAGATAGTTTCATCAAAGTAACACAATTTTAAGGAATTCCAGTAACTGACCTCTACTGAAAGAACAGCATAAAGAAAACAATATCAGGATCATTTCTAGAGATTCATTGTGTTTGTCCTGGGGCTTGAACTCAGGGCCTGGCCACTGGCCCTCAGCTTTTGTGCTTAAGGCTAACTCTCTACTACTTGTGCCACAGCTCTACTTCTGCTTTGTAGTGGTTAATTGGAGATAAGAGTCTCATGAATATAACTGCCCTGGCTGGCTTTGAACCTCAATCTTCAGATCTCAGCTCTTAAGTAGCTAGGACTGAGCCACCAGCGCCTGGCTGATTTATTTTTTGACATACAAGAAAATAAGAACCACATTTGAAATTTGGATTCTAAATTAGTATATGTAAAATGCCTATATCACAATAAGATATTTGAAGAAAACCAAAATTCATTGAAAGAAATCCTGATAGAAAATATGTTTGTATGCATCAATTCTGTTTCTGCTTGTGATATGGTTATTCAGGTTTCCATTTGCTCTGCCCTGAGAAATACCTATGAGAACACTCATGAGGGTTTTAGGCCACAGTCCCTTGGCTGTATTATTTCTGGGTGAGGTAGTACCTCAGGGCAGAAGAGTGTCCTGGAGGAAAGCTGTTGAATTCATAGTGACCAGGAGGGGTAGAGAGAGGGAAAGAGAGTGAGAGAGAGAATGAGACAATGAGGAAGAGTCCCCAAACAAAATGTACCCTTAAAAGTCACGCACAACAGGCACTGGTAGTTCACATCTGTCAGCTACTCAGGAGGCTGAGATCTGGGAATCACAGTTCAAAGCCAGCTCAGGGAGGAAAGTCCATGAGGCTCACATCTGGAGATGAGATTGGGATTAGCAACCAGAAAACCGGAAGTGGCACTGTGATTCAAAGTGGTAGAGCACTAGCCTTGCGCAAAAGAGCTCAGGGACAGTGCCTAGACCCCGAGTTCTAGTCCCACAAAAGACAAAAAAAAAAGTCACACACATACTGACCTACTTCCTCTAACAAGAGAACAAGGTTTCTACACATGAGACTTTGGAGGATATTCCAGATCCAAACTATAACAAGAAGATAGAGCAGGCTTAAAAACATGTGGATGGGGTCAAATTTTTAAAGCCACTTTTGTGACAACTTGAAAAAGTAGTTCCAAGTTAGTCACCTTTGTCACATTCACAAAGCACCTGGTATATTTTTTGTTAAAACCAATTAATACTGAATTGCTAATGTTAATATTCTTATTCCTGGTGTGCATACAGGAAAAACTCCAAATCCTGTTCTTTGGGATGGTGCAGAGGGCAAAGTGATACCTTAAGAGTGATCATTACCATTCTCCTCTTCCTTAGGTGGCTGGAGGGTATTAAATAGTTGATGCTTATAAGTGTCAAAAAGTAAATGTTAAGGGGCTGGGGAGGTGGCTCAGTGGTAGAGTGCTTGCCTTGTATGCATAAGGCCCTGGGTTCAATTCCTCAGCACCACATAAGCAGAAAAGGCTACAAGTGGCACTGTGGCTCAAGTGGTAGAGTGCTAGCCTTGAGCTAAAGAGCTCAGGAACAGTGCCCAGGCCCAGAGTTCAAGCCCCATAACCAACAACAACAACAGCAAAAGGTAAATGTTAAATACAAGGCAGATTCCAATTAACTAAAGCATTAAAAAATTATTGGTATCAACCCAAGTTAGTACCTATCCATTTCATGATTGGGGTATACCACCTGCTTGCTTTTTCTTCCAGTGGGATCTATTTCTTTGTTGTCCCAGGTCTTCTCCTGCTAGATTGCAATGTAGTCAAAGCCTTGTCTATGGAAAGTTACTTTGGAAACAAAGCCAACTCCTCTACCAAAACTCAAAGTTGCCTTTTGGGAGGGTCTCCTTCTTCCAACAAGTTACCAACTTCCTCGTGTAAGGAGAGTTACGGCTGAGCACAAGCACCCTGTGTTGGCAGGCCCATAGAGCAATGAGTGGTTAATAAAGAGTCACCTGTTTTAACGCTTTTCTCAGGTGTTCTCATCTCAACCCACAAAGACCAGTATCACAAAGGACTTATGATCAAGGCACACCTGCACGAAAACTTGGGTGATGCTTCGACTTTCATGAGGCCTCCAGAGAAGCCATGAGTCAAAGCAAGAATCCCATCTCACCTATCAGAGGCCACTAATGAACAAATTCTTCCAAGGCTAGTTCAAGGCAGTACATAGATGCTTCAGGAGAGTGGATCACAAACGATGTGGAACACATAAAAGAGCAAACATATAAAATCTAATTTTTTACAGATCTTATGATTGGGAAATTAAGATGTTTCCAGGTTTTTGTTTTCCACATTGTCTCTGAGGTCCTTCAGTTTTCTGGAGTTTTGGACCAGGGATACCAAACTCTCGCTAAAATCACTAATCCCACGATCTCTGCCAACACTCTCAAGCTCATCTAACTAAAGTTAAGGTCTGTTTGAATTTTTGCTCTCCTAATTTAGTAAGAAGGGCCTGATTAGTTCATAATTCAGTCTTATACTTGTCACTCTTCAGTTGCTTTTCTTTTGGGAGAAGCTGAAATCCTTCCTCACTATAAAGATGCATCTCCTGGCGTTTATCTTCAGGAAGCAAGCTATTTGGAGGAACCCACAAAATCAACTGCAAAAAAAACAAAAACAAAAAACACAAAAAATCAGCTGCTCCACTTTGCCAAAAAGGTTATCAAGATGTCCTCTGATGAAGCAAAGAAACTTCTCTATGCATTTACAAATTTGAACAGGGCTAAGCGATCCCCTCCCAGTTCAGAATAACCTGTGTTCAGCCACCTACATCACTTCAAATAGGTAGTCTTGAAATGCAAGTTTGTGGTATGAAGCCAAAGAATTTGGCCTCAGAGGCCACTGGATCCATAGACATTTTGGGTTAATTTACTATTGTCATTTGCAAAAAAAAAAAAAAAATCAACTATCTTGCCTTCTGAAAAGGGAGAGCATCAAATGTAGCTAAGCTACTGACTTCATGATGGACAGAAAGCAGAGAATGGACCAGAATCTCCATTATATAATGACCAAACCTCCTTCAGCAAAATACTGTCTCCTAAGTTTCTACCATATCAGAATAATGCCACCAAGTGGAAGCCGAGCCTGTAACTCGTGAGTCTTTGTAGGACACCCCTGATGAGAAGTTTGACATTCCACCCAGGACCCTAAAGTTCAGGCTTACCTCACAAGTTTATCATTGAGTCCTCATAAACAGTCCCTGTATTGCTCAAAAGTCTAAGTCTAAACTTTCCTACTGAAACGCTAGGCAAATTCTTGGCTGTGAGCCCCTTTGAAAATCAAAAAGTAAAAAGTTACATATTTCTAAGAGACCGTGGTGAGACAGGACCAACATGAACTTCCTGATTCTAAAAGGGAAGAATATGTGAACAGAAAAGAGGGATGAGCTAAAAGGTGACAGAAACAGAGCGGGGTAGACACGAACTCCTATGACTCCTTGTGCAAAAACTGGAGCACATAGTGGAATGCTGTACACTCCAAAGTCTTTCACATCCTTTATGATTCCCAGTTCTCACTGTAAACCTTAGAGTCTGCCAGCAGTGCCCTTGCTATTGCTTGAATACCATGCTTTCTTGAAATTCCCTTCACCAGATAGATTTTTATCAGTATAATAATAACAGAAAACAAATACACGACCTACTGGGGAGGGGGGGTAATTTTGTGTCAGAGTTTTTGGTCATAATCACTTGGCCTAGTTCTATTTGGCGAGTGGTGAGACCAAACATTGGCGGGAGCACATAGTGGAGAAAGCTGTGAAATTCATGGCATCCAAGAAGCAAAAAGGAGAGAAGAAAAGGCTGGGATCTCAGTATCATCATCAAGAATACAATCTCAATGACCCCACTTCCTTGATAGGTCCCACCTTCTAAAGGTTCCACCACCTCCCAGCAGCGCCATCAACTGTCAAGAACATTTAAGAGCTAAACTATAAGATGACTCAGGGGCTGGGAAGGTGGCTCAGTGGTAGAGCATTTGCCTTGCATGCATGAGGCCCTGGGTTCGATTCCTCAGCATCACATAAGCAGAAAAAAAAGCCGGAAGTGGTGCTGTGGCTCAAATGGTAGAGTGTTAGCCTTGAGCTGAAGAGCTGAGGGACAGTGCCCAGGCCCAGAGTTCAGGCCCACAACTGGACCCAAAAAAAAAAAAAGATGACTCAGAAATTGAGATACATCGGGCTGGGAAGTTGGCTCAGTGGTAGAGCGCTTGCCTTGCATGCATGAGGCCCTGGGTTTGATTCCTCAGCACCACCTAAGCAAAAAGAAAAAAAAAAGCTGGAAGTGGCACTGTGGCTCAAGTGGTAGAGCGCTAGCCTTGAGCTGAAGAGCTGAGGGACAGCGCCCAGGCCCAGAGTTCAGGCCCCACGACCGGACCCAAAAAAAAAAAAGAAATTGAGATACATGTATCAAGGTTGAGGCAGACTGAAAGAAGGTGAGATAAGCAGAAATATCAAAATTATAATAGCTAATGCATTATAAATCAAAAGCTAGTAATGTGTATCACACTGTTTGTGATACTATTATCCACAATCAATAAAGCCAAGGAGTGTGGATTGAGACCTCTGAACTGCTGAGATAAAAATAAAACCTCCTGTGAGTCCTAGAAGTGCAAAAAAAAAAAGGTGCCAGAAATGTGAAGTTGTTGCCATAACTAAATCTAAGTTGCTTAGCTGCGTTCCTCCTGTGGAGAAAATTGGAAGTGGTTGGGAAATGTCATGTAGAGAATCCCTCGACTGTGTAAACTCAGCTTAATGAGCTACTCTGGTGGGTGCCCTGAAGACCAGAATTCCAACATAAATGCAAAGGGTCTGCTTATGAGATTTCAGTTTAGAAGGATTTTATTGGGAATTGGGCCCAAAAAGGTGGAGTTTAAAGGTGATGTAGAAATTAATCTAGTAGAGGAAATTTCTAATCACCACACCATTTGGGCTGTGGTATGGTCACTGGCTGCTTTCCATCAGACTTTTAATGAAAATCAGGAGCAAAATGAAGACAGACTTGAAAAAACATAGAAAGTTAGGACTCCTATCAAGTTGGGACTAAGGAAAGCACAGTTTCTGAAGTGAATACTGCCACTGAAAGAAGTCTCTGTGATCAAGATGTGTTATAAACTGACATGTGGAATTGATGCCCTTCTGTACAAATACTTTTTTTTTTTTTTTTTGCCAGTCATGGGGCTTGAACTCTGGGCCTGGACTCTGTCCCTCAACTCTTCAGCTCAAGGCTTGCACTCTACCACTTGAGCCAAAGCACTACTTCCAGCTTTTTCTGCTTATGTGGTGCTGAGGAATCAAACTCCAGAGCCTCATGCATGCAAGACAAACACTCTACCACTGAACCACCTCCCCATCCCACAAATGCTTTTTAAAAAAAAAAATTTTTAAGAAACTTCTGTCACATGTACTCACATGATGGTAGTGTTTTTCCTCACCCTGGAATGGAGCCAATAAAATCAAGGATGATAGACAAAAACTTAGGCAACTGTGTCCCAGAATAAACACTTTATGCCTTTCATTTTTTTTTTGGGGGGGGGGTCCGGTCGTGGGGCCTGAACTCTGGGCCTCGGCGCTGTGCCTCAGCTCTTCACTCAGGGCTAGCACTCTACCACTTGAACCACAGCGCCACTTCCGGCTTTTTTCTTTTTGCTTATGTGGTGCTGAGGAATCGAACCCAGGGCCTCGAGCATGCAAGGCAAGAGCTCTACCACTGAGCCACCTTCCCAGCCCCGTCTTTCATTTGTTTATCAGGTATCTTCTTGTTCACAATGATGAGAACCCATAGCGGACTCCGTCTTCTATCCTTACATCCCATTCAATGTGTATAGGTCACACTTGTTAGGAAAATGGAGGAGAAAGAAAGGAAGCAGGCCAGACTCAATCTTCCACAGGCAAGGACTGTTTATTGAGATAGAGCAGCAAGGGGCACTGTCCTCCTGTGGGCTTAGAGACTGTGCAAAGAGCTGGGTTAAGAGTGGGGTTTTTATGAGTTCAGGCCCCATGACCAGACCCAAAAAAAAAAAAAGAAAGAAAATGAAAAAGAGAAAGGGAAGGAGGAAAAGAAGGAGGAAGGAAGGGTAAATATACCAGAGACTATGCAGTGTTCATGGACATGCAAGTCTCTAAAGAAGTCTATGGGTGGTTTCCCTAAAAAACTAAAACTAGCCGGGCGCCGGTGGCTCACGCCTGTAATCCTAGCTACTCAGGAGGCTGAGATCTGAGAATCACGGTTCAAAGCCAGCCCAGGCAGGAAAGACCGTGAGACTCCTATCTCCAATAAGCCACTAGAAAACCGGAAGTGGCGCTGTGGCTCAAGTGGTAGAGCGCTCACCTTGAGCTGAAGAGCTGAGGGCCCAGGCCCAGAGTTCAAGCCCCATGACCGACAAAAAAAAAAAAACTAAAACTAGAACTCCTTACAGTATGATCCAGCACTATCACTTCTCTGTGTATAGCCTAAAGAATCCCATAGTCAATTTACACTAGTTTGGGTACAGAAAATTTCACATCAAAGTCCACAGGTGACCAGGGTTCATCCTGTAGGAGTCAATGAACCTTTTCAGAAAAGTAAATCTTTAACAGATTGAATTATTTTAAGTATTACCAAATCTTTTTTCTTTGTGACTCTGAAGTAAAAATACAACTTACCTAACTCCAAGTATGTGGGGGAAACAAGTTCCTGGACTCTGCTGGGCCTCCCAGTGAACCAGTGCGGCCGGGATCAAGCCCCTGTAGTGAGCCTCACATTTTGCCTCCTCTTGGGAATAGTCATTATTCAATGGCCTTTCACGACCTTCTGGAGCAAGTTGGCAGCCTGGGAAGATTCCAGATCCTTCAAGTGGCTTTTCTTATGATGTGTAATTTCTTGGCCTTCATTCATGTTCTATTGGAGAACTTCACGGCTGCCGTGCCTGAGCACCGCTGCTGGGTGCGCATCCTCGACAATGACACGCTCTCTGACAATGGCACTGGGCTCCTCAGCCAGGAGGACCTCCTGAGAATCTCCATCCCACTCGACTCCAACCTCAGGCCAGAGAAGTGCCGGCGCTTTGTCCATCCCCAATGGCAGCTCCTCCACCTGAACAGCACCTTCTGGAACCTGAGTGAGGCAGAAACAGAGCCCTGTGTGGACGGCTGGGTGTATGACCGCAGCTCCTTCGTCTCCACCATCGTGACCAAGGTAGGAAGCTTCGTTTTAGAAATTAGAAAATTGTGTTTAGAAATAACACAAGTAATGGAAGTGCTCCAAACCTTTCGTCACAAGGTAGAGCCTTATTTTTTAATCTTCTAGCTTCAATATTAAATACCAGACAGAGAGATAGTTGATGAATCTGCTAAGTTCATATAGGAGGCCCCAAACTCATAGAGCTCTCATTCTTCCGAGAACCATAGCTTAAACAATTAGTGCATGGGCTTTGACACAAATGTTACACAAAGCCAATAGTATCCAGCTTGGTTTTAAATTGGAAATATCATGGATATTTTTAAGTTTCTGGTTGATCGAAACTTTGGAGGAGAAGAAGAATTTTTTTTAAGCAATAAAAAACAAAACTCAAGAGTGTGGGTGAGGGCTGGGAAGGCTGGGGAGAATCATGGAAGGAATGACATCGCTCAAGATACAACTGATTTGCTGAATTGCAGCCCTCTGTACAATTGTTTAAAGATAATTTTCAAAAATAAATTTTAAAAAGGACGTAATAGATGAATATGATTACAGTACATTATATGCACATACAGAAATACCACAGCTTTTTCATTTTGTATTATTAATCCACATTTATAAACTATAGAGAAGGATACAAGGATTTGAACCTAGGATTTTGTACTACCTATAGAGAGCTGTTGTACTATCTGAACCATGCCCCAAGCCCTTGTGGCTTTAGAGTTTTTTTTTTTGTTTGTTTTTGTTTTTTTATCAGTACTATGGTTTCACCTCAAGTCTCTAACTCTTTTTTTTTTGTCGGCCATGGGGCTTGAACTCTGGGCCTGGGTGCTGTCACTCAGCTCTTCAGCTCAAGGCGAGCACTCTACCACTTGAGCTACAGCGCCACTTCCAGTTTTCTGGTGGTTTATTGGAGATAGGAGTCTCACGGTCTCTCCTGCCCGGGCTGGCTTTGAACCACGATCCTCAGATCTCAGCCTCCTGAGTAGCTAGGATTACAGGCGTGAGCCACCAGCGCCTGGCAAAGTCTGTAACTCTTGTTCAACATTCCTTCTGATCGCTGGTGTTCACTTGAGCCACACCTCCATTCTAGAATTTTGCTAGAGAGTTGAAGATGGATTTTTTTTTTTTTTAGCCTAGGCTGGCTTCAAACCATGATTTTCTCATCTCAACCTACTAAGTATCTAGGATTTCAGATGTGAGCCACCATTACCCAGATAGTATCTTGCCTTTATTTCCAGGCTAGACTGGTCTGAATTCTATTTACATTTCACACACAGCTTGGATGACAAACATACCCCTACGTTCCCAGCTTTTTCTTGGTTGAGGGGGGAGGGTCTTGTGAACTTTTGGGCTGGTCCGGCCTCAAACTGCAATTCTCTCTTTCTCTATCACATACTTCGTGTTAGAAGAATGAGCCACAATAACCAGCTAATAACAAAAGTAATTTTAAAAAGAAAAAAAAATCCATAATCCCCAGACTCTACAGACAGTAGAGTCCTATGAGTCTGCATGATAATGAGGACTTATACATTGTTTTATTAGTAGTATCATTAAGTAGTTGTACACAAGTGTTTCAATTCAACATGTCAGTTTATGAGTTCCATGAATCTTGTTCAGTGTCCCCCCTTTCATCCTTCACTTCTGTCTGTATGACCATGTTTGAAAACTTCCCATTGGGGTTAAATAGTCATCAGCCTGGCACTAGGTCAATGCTTGTAATCCTATCTACTCTGGAGTCTGGGAACAACAGGCTTGTCAGTGAAGACCAGCACAGACAGCCAGAAAAGTTCACAAGGCTCTATCTAGATAAATAACTAGTCAAAAGCAACAGAATCAGAGGCGTGACTCAAGTGGTAGAGAACCATCCTAGCAAGCAAACCCGGGTACCACTGAGGTAGAAATCAGATAATGATGAAAAGGGAAGCTATAGAAGATGGCAAGAGCCAGATATAATAAAACACGTAAGTTAATGAAACGCATAGGTTGTGTTTAGGGATTTCAATCAGGTACACTGAAGGGTTATAAACTGTCCTGTGTTGGTTTCCTTCTCTTCCAGTGGGACCTGGTGTGTGACTCTCAGTCACTAATTTCAGTAGCTAAATTCCTATTCATGGCTGGAATGCTAACAGGAAGCATACTCTATGGCCGTTTATCAGACAAGTAAGTGTATCTGATCCTCAGTTCTATGAGTGGGTATTTTCACCAGCCTGTGAGTGACTTGCTCATCCATGGTAGTTGGTGCCAATTATCCTTCCCTGGGTGTGTATACCTTTGCCGCTGGGGAAAGACAAACACACATGGAAATATTCCTGGCCTGTGTCAAGAGTGCTATTTTTAGAAGATTGAATCCTGTGTGAAGAAATGAAATGTCATCCCCGCAAGGCATGGGGGTGTTTGTAGAAAGGGTTTAGAGAGAAGTTGCTACTACTTAAAGTTTTTTTTAAGATGACAGTTAACTGTGGTAATGAGGCCAAAAATGTATCACCGCATCAGGCTGATTCTATTTGAATGCACAGAACTGAAAAATAGCTTGATCACTCTTGACCAGGAATACTATGCTCAGTCCCTCCCAGACACTGCACTGAATGCCCATGGTGCCCAGGGAATGGGCATTATCTTAATCATCCAGATATGATGGATGGAATAGCCAATTAGACCATTGAGGCCATAGACTTGCATACATTAGTGGTGTATCGGGAAGTCACATCATCCTCTTTATTTTTGCTTTAGTCAAAGCAATATTTTGTGAGCAAATATACACAGATTGTATTACATACGCCTTTTTATTTTTTACTTAATGTCATTAAGATTTTTTAGCATACATTACTTGTCTAAGGAGGGTTCCCAATTACAATTTCCATACTATACGTATACAATGTATGTCCAATTAAACAAATCCTCTCTATCACTCTCCATTATCCAACTCTTGTTTTTCATGCAATCTAGGTACCTGTTAAGGATATCAATATGTAAGAAGGATTATGGATGGGGAAAAAGTGGTAGAAAAAAATGTGAGAGAACAGTTCTAATTACATGTTCTTTTTTTTCCATTTACTTTCAATTAGCCAATGAACTATGCTCAAATTTGGGTCTTTGTGTTGTAGTTCCATCTAATAATTTCTACCTTCTCATTAGAGATTTTAGTCCATTCATATATGATATAATTTCTGATATGGTTGTATTTGCTCTATCATTTTGCTTGTATTTTGATTTACTAAACTTCTCCTATATTCTGCTTTTTTTTTTTCATTTTGGAGGGGAATAATTAGAATATAGGATATTTTTATTTTGATTCCTTTGTTGGTTTTTTAACCACTCTTGATCACATAGACTTTCAGTAATTTATCATTAACTTTTTTTTTTGCCAGTCGTGCGGCCTGAACTCTGGGCCTGGGTGCTGTCCCTCAGCTCTTCAGCTCAAGGCGAGTGCTCTACTACTTGAGCCACAGCGCCACTTCCGGCTTTTTTCTTTTTGCTTATGTGGTGCTGAGGAATTGAACCCAGGGCCTCAGGCATGCAAGGCAAGCACTCTACCACTGAGCCACCTTCCCAGCCCTATCATTAACTTTTTATAGTTAACAATGTACTTTAAGCATATAAAAACATGTTTTGAATGTAGGAAATGGAAAACTCTCCTTTCACTATAGGAGGATCATAAAACAAGTAGAAATGGTATAAATTTATGTTGGTGACCTGAAAAACTGCCAACAAATTACAGCAACCAAGTGAATGTCAAGTTAAAAGTAGGGGGAGGGGACTCATCCTCAAATTGGGGGGGGGGGGAATGCTGTGGTATCTTTTCCTTAAGCTTGTCAAGCCGCATCCTAGCCCAGTAACAATCCTTGGTCTTGAAGTATCAGCTCAGACCCAGTTCCTTCCTCCAAATATGAACAAGAGATCTTATTTGCAATTGCTATGCACATGTATTCTAACTTGAGAGACATCTGAAGGAATGACACCAAACATCTAGTCCTGTTTAGAAAGAATTGGGTCCTAAGCATCAGTGTATCAGGCAATACTCCTAAAAGTTGTGTGATAAATAACTTCCCACAAGCACCAAAGGCAAGAGATTTGGAGGGAAGATAGGTAACACCTGATGGCCAAAGGAAAGGCTTGAGTGACACTTTCTGGGGAATTAAGGTATTCAAGGGTCATTAGAGCCGGGCACCAGTGACTCACACCTGTAATCCTAGCTATTCAAGATCCTCTCAATCTGAGGATCATGCTTCAAAGCCAGCCTGGGTAGGAAAGTCTGTGAGACGTTATCTCCAATACACCACCAAAAAACTGAAAGTGGGACTGTGATTCAAGTGGGAGAGCAACAGACTTGAGCTCAAAAGCTCAAGGACAGTGCCCAGGATTTGAGTTCAAGCCCCAGGACTGGCACACACAAAAAAGTCATCAGAGTTAAGCAGGAATGCAGAGCGTCATATGTATGGCCATATAAGGCGCATATTCATAAAAACACTGAGCCTTTTAACTTTGTACATCAGGATGAGCTCTAGCCTCAGAGCAAAATAAGTTGAGCCTTGAAGGAGTATCACAGAAAAAAAGTCAAGATGCAAAAAACTGGAAGATCTTCTGGCATTCAAAAAGTATGTGTTAGAACATTAGAAAAAAACTGATATAAAAGAACAGAGGTTTCAGCGCTGGCGCATGACGAAGGTAGTCTTTGGGCTGGAGATATAGAGCTCAAGAGTAGAGATTTTACCTCACAAGTGAGGGCCTAGCTTTGATCCCCAGCAGTCAAAAAAAAAAAAAATAGGATAGACAACCAGAACTGGCGCTGTGGCTCAAGGGGTAGAGTGCTCGCCTTGAGCTGAAGAGCGCAGAGACAGCGCCCAAGCCCAGTGTTCAAGCTCCATGACCAACCAAAAAAAAAAGTCAGAAAATCCAGCTAACTATAAAGAATCTTAATTCAAGAACTTCCACATTATGGTCCTCAAGTGACCGGATTTACAAAAGCATGAAATTATGAAAAGAAAAAAGGAAATACGATTCATTCAAAGAGCAAATACCACTGCAACAATCTCCAAGCAAACCCAAACACTTAATAGGCAAACACATTAGAAGAAATGTCTTAAATATGCTTCAAAAATGAACGAAAACATGGACAATAACTAAGAGAAATAGAAAGTAATATATTTTTAAATGATAATATCAAAAAAGATAAGAATTATTTTAATAAAAGAGCTAACCAGAGATCTAGAGATGAAAACTGCAATCACAGAATTGAAATTTTGACTATGGAGATTCAACAGAAGATGGGAACAAACAAGCACAGGCATCAGTCACTAAGGGCTGGAGTCGTGGGCCAAGAACACATGCCCAGCAGGCTCAGATTTCAGTACCACACAACAAAAGTTAGTGAATTGAAAAGCATTCATTCCCGTAATCCTGTATACTAGGAGGCTGAGAACTAAAATTCTCAGTTTGAGTCGGGCACCCGTGGCTCACCCCTGTAAATCCTAGCTACTCAGGAGGCTGAGACCTGAGGATCTTGTTCAAAGCCAGCCCAGGCAGGGAAGTCCATGAGACTCTTATCTCCAATAAACCACCAGAAAACCACAAGTGGCACTGTGGCTCAAGTGGTAGAGCGCTTGCCTTGAGCTGAAGAGCTGAGGGACAGCGCCCAGGCCCAGAGTTCAAGCCCCATGACAGACAAAAAAAAAAAAAAAAAAGAATCAGTTTGAAGGTTGCTAGCAGGAAAAGTCCATAAGATCTTCATCTCCATTTTGCCAGAACAAAGCCAGAAATGAGCTGTGGCTTGAGTGAAAAAGCTAAGGACTGCAACCAGGCCCTAAGTCCAAGTCCCAGTACCAGTACAGAAAAGAAGGAAGGGAAGGGAAAAGGAGGGAAGGGGAAGGAAGGGGAGGGAGAAGAGGAAGGAAGGAAGGAAGGAAGGAAGGAAGGAAGGAAGGAAGGAAGGAAGGAAGGAAGGAAGGAAGGAAGGAAGGAAGGGAGGGAGGGAGGAAAGGAGGGAGGAAGGGAAGGAGGGAGGGAGGGAGGGAGGGAGAAGGAGATTACAACATAAATCATCTAGTCTAGGAGATAATTCCTCCACACACAGCCCTACCCCTACCCCCTGTACCCTCCACTCCAGGTATAGGGCTTGAACTCAGGGACAGTGCCCAGGCCCCAGATTGCCAGGCAAACCATTTGTGGAAAAGCAGCTTTAAAACCTCCCATCTCTGTTTCCAGACACAGAGCTGCTTGTGTGTACAGAGCTGTTATTGAGGATATCTGCTGCTAGTTATTTGATTCTCAATCACTTCAGTGCCCTTCTTTTTGTGCTAATTAACACAGATGCCTTTATTGTTTCCATAATCTAGTCTTTTCCTTTCTCTTAGGTTTGGGAGGAGGTTAGTTATCGTGAGTTGTTTGTTGACACTGACTGTTTTTGAAATGTGTGCAGCCTTTGCTCCTAACTTCATAGCTTACTGCTTCCTGCGCTCCCTGGTTGGGACATCAACCTCCGGCCTCATGACAATTGTCCCTATGCTCCGTAAGTCAAACCTTCCATCCTGGACACTGACCTTGAATCTGACCTTTGATATTCCATCTTTATTTGATGTCAAGATGTGATTCATGTTGTCTCTCAGTTATAGAGTGGATAAAGCCCCAATTCCAAGCCCTGGGAATAGCATTGGCAGTTTGTGCCACTAGTATTGGACAGATAGTCCTGGGCAGCGTGGCTTTTCTTATTCGCAATTGGTACATCCTCCAGCTGGTGATATCAGTACCAATGTTTCTCTTACTTATGTCTAAAAGGTATGAACTTCCTTTCTTTGTCTTATGGGGTTTTGTGATAAGGATGTTGATGGAACTAGGAAACAAGAACTTCATCTGATCCTTAAGCAATACCTGATCAATATGGGCCCAATACGTGTCTATGTATCATTTTAAAAGCAGACCAACTAGAGCTGTCATGTGAAAATCAAAACAATGAAGCAAATCTCAATGTAAGATAACCAACAAAGGGCTGGGAAGGTGGCTCAGTGGTAGAGCGCTTGCCTTGCATGCCTGAGGCCCTGGGTTCGATTCCTCAGCACCACATAAGCAGGAAAAGGAAAAGCCGGAAGTGGCGCTGTGGCTCAAGTGGTAGAGCACTAGCCTTGAGCTGAAGAGCTGAAGGACAGCGCCCAGGCCCAGAGTTCAGGCCCCACAACCGGACCCCCCCCAAAAAAAGAATGACATTGGTCAAGAAGCATTGTACTCATAACCTGATTTCTAGACTTGAAACTCTATAGAACAACTACCTAATTAAAATAGTAGATATGTAAATATATAATTAATATTAACACTTAACTAAGTGCACTCTAAGTAGCCCCAAAAATAGACTCCAGCAATGTACCCTCTCCCGTTTTCCTCGATCTTTCTAACTGCCCTTGCTAGTACATTTTCATTGGTAAGATGATAAGAGGAAGTGTTTCCCTTCACAGAGAAAAACATTTTGAAGATTAAATTGCATCTTCCATATGGCTTTGCAAGGAAATACTCAGTGGAGAATATTTTAGTGATTTTCATTTTGGAAGTGATACACATGAGAAACAGAAGAAAATTACCGCCAGACCCATTCAGCGAAAGAGCAGCACAGGTTCCCCTATTTAAAATTTGGGTCAAATTGGACAGTTTACATCTATTGTGTGGATCCTCCCTTTTGTTCCTCAAGAAGGAATATGCTGTACTTCAACAAGGTCAAGTCATCGTGAGATTATTGGCTTAGAAATAACTTCCAGAAAGCCAGGCGCTGATGGCTCATACCTGTAATCCTAGCCAGTCAGGAGGCTGAGGATCACAGCTTGAAGTCAACCCAGACAGTAAAGTCCTTGAGACTCTGATCTCCAATGAACCACCAGAAGTAGAGCTGTAGCTCAAAGTAGTAGAGAAATTGCCTTGAGTAGAAAAGCTCGGGTACAGCACCCGGGCCCTGAGTTCAATCACCACGACCAAAAAAGAACTTCCAGAGAAACAATTACGATCTAATATAGTGACATGAGTTAGGACAAGCAGAATATACCTCTGGTAGAATTATCTAGTACATCATTTAATCCTCATAACAAATCTACCAACTTTGTGACCTTGCTGTCCCATTACACAGACAAAAAAAATCTAAGATTTTTGCTTGCTCTCGTAGCCAGATACCTCCCAACTGCTAGGAACAGAAGTGATTTCCAGTCCATCATCTAACAATGTACAAAAATAATTTGTAGGTTCTTTTTTATTATTATTTTGTTGTTGTTGTTGTTGTTGGTCGTGGGGCTTGAATTCTGGGCCTGGGCACTGTCCCTCAGCTCTTCAGTTCAAGGCTAGTGCTCTACCACTTGAGCCATAGCACCACTTCTGGCTTTTTCTATTTGTGTGGTGCTGAGGAATTGAACCCAGGACCTCATGAATACCACGCAAGCACTCTACCACTGAGCCACCTTCCCAGCCCCTATTATTATTTAATTTTTATTATTATTATAAAGGTGGTGTACAGAGGGGTTACAGTTATATAAGTCAGGTAAAGAGTACATTTCCTTTTGGACAATGTCACCCCTTCCCTTAGTCTCTCCCAGTTTTTCCCTCCTGTCTCGACCTACATGTTGTCCAGTTCATTTTCTACATAGTGTGTAGTGAGTACCACTGCTGCATTTGTGCCTCCACATCTATGTCCCCGCCTTACCCTCCCAAGGACAGAGATAAACAAACAAGACAAAAAGGTTGTTGCTACTAACTAATAAACCTCTAGCTTCTATTTCCTGGAGTTCATTTCAATATGTAGGATCAGATGCACATAGGTTTTTGTGCCTTTTTTCTCCTAACCTAAGAGTATCCTCCTTTGGTCTCCCTGTGTGGGAGGTTCTTATTTCAGAAAAAAAGAAGGCAGAATTGGTTCACTTATAACTATGAATGTTTATGTTTTTGCTCCTGCAAGGAAGTTGGTAAAGTCTATACCAATAGGTGTCCCTCAGACTCCAGCTCCTGATCTCCATAGTAAATTTGTATCCAACTCTGATAGGAGCCCAAGACCTTTGCAGATCTCTGTTCCATTTCCTCGTTATGGTAACAAACAACATAAAGTGATACTTCCTGATGTAACTGAGAAAGTGATGGATTTGATATTAAAGAGAAATGGAGCCCACAGGTTAAAGGTAATGGGGAAATGAGCAGGTAAGAGTTGGCTGCACTTCCATGGCGTCTTTGATCAGGTGTCTGGCAGAGTCTGCTCGGTGGCTGATTATCACCAACAAACCCCAGGAAGCCTTAAAGGAGCTGTGGAGAGCTGCGCGCATAAATGGAGTGAAGAATTATAGAGACACGCTAACTGTGGAGGTGAGTGGGATGGACAGCAGCCGTTACGAGATAGAGGAAAGACTTAACCTCTCTCTCTCCCTCTCTCCTCTCCCTCTCTCTCTCCCTCTCTCCTCTCCCCCTCTCTCTCTCTCTCTCTCTGTCTCTCTCTCTCTCTCTCTCTCTCTCACACACACACACACATATGTATTACTTGGTGTCCAGAAGCTCAATGTACTATCAGTAAAGAATACTGGACATGTATTTTATTCCAAAGAAACAACGTTTGATTCTTTTTTTCTTCCTTTTGCTCCAAAAATTCCAGCACAGGATTATAGGCTTTATATTTATTTCATTGTTTATTAATTGATAGGTAATGTTGTTTTGTTACAACAACATGTTTAGAAACGTGTGTGTGTGTGTGTAGATTTATATGGTGGGATGGTCAAATCTAGCTAATTAAATTCGTTCCCTCACATATCCTTTTTGTGGTGAGACACAGAACACCACTTCTTTTACATTTGCTAAGAGCACAGTAATTGACATTGGAAACAGTCATATGCTGTAGAAGGGTCTCCTTGGAACTGACTCTTCCTGTCTCACTATAAGTATGCATCCTTTGACCAAGTTCTCCCTCATACTCCCTTCATGACTCCAGGCTTTGGTAACTTCCAGCATATTCCACCCCCCGTGAAGTCAATATTTTTAGATTTCACAGATGAGTGTGACATCTTGTGGCAGTTTATCTTTCTGTGTCTGGTTTGTTTCACTTAACATAATGTCATTCCTGTCACTTAGCCATAAGGTGTGTACATGCTGCCCCCCCCCCCCGCCATGATTTCATCCTTGATTTTCACATTTTTATTAGCATACATTAGTTGTACACAAGGGCTTCATTGTCGCTTTCCATGCATGCGTAGTGTACCCCACCAATCACACACGTCTCCACACTCCTTCAATACCCCCACTTCTTCAATGTATACATGTAGGTAAAGTGCTCCCACCACAGCCACTCTCCTTCACCCTCCTTGTTAGCCCCTCCCCCTCCCACAGGGCCGCCCCTGAACAGGACCTGTTTTACACCCATCTCATTTGCTTCTAAGTGTATGTTGGTTGCTCAAAGGTGACCCCTCATGGCATTTCAAACATGCATATGTTGTATTTCAATCACATGAATCCTCTCTGTCCTCTTACCTCTCCCCTTAACTCTCTAATTCAACAGCTTACAGTGAGTTTCGTTATGCCATCTTCACACAGAGACATAATGTATTTTGATTTTCTTCACTTTATCATTCTTCTTATCCTTCCTTGACACCCTAATGCCCTCAAATAGTCCTACAAATTACAAACATGATCTATGAGTACATATGTGTGCATAGATAAACATTGATACATGTGTGTATCTATGTATATGTATATACATATATTTTATATGTGCATATGTATATATTATATAGATACATACACATACATGTGTGTATATATGTATATCATTTAGGTCTCTCTTCCACATATGAAGGAAAATATACTTAAATTGGAAATTGTGTGCAAAGTAATTAAGGACCAGCTTTGGACTGTGTAGTTAATGGAGTCTGCCCTGTTGTAATACAGACAATCCAAGATCTTCATGTTTTATAAGATGGAAATCATTTCTGGCACTTAAACATTTGGGTGAAAATTGTTCCGTTTTCTGGGTATGCTATAACTGAAAAAATCAAATGTTTTCTGTGATCCTGTTAAACAGACATGGGCAACATCTCTGGTTAGTTCAAGGCTCAGAAATCAATGACATGGAGTTGTATTCAGTCCCCCAGTTGAAAGCCTTCTTGAAGTGATTACCTCTCCCTGTAAGCCACACACAATTCTCATGATTGGGTGTGAAGCAGGAACTTTGGAGTTTGTTTGTTTTTTTGTTTGGTTGGTCCTGGGGCTTGAACTCTGGGCCTGGGTGCTTTCCCTGATCTCTTTTACTCATGGCTAACACGCTACCACTTTGAGCCATAGCTCTATTCTGGTTTTAGAGTGGTTCATTGGAGATGAGTCTCACAGACTTTCCTGCCCAGACTGGCTTTTGAACCATGATCCTAGGATTTCAGCCTCCTGAGTAGCTAGGATTATAGTTGTGAGCCACCAGCTGACATTTTCTTTGTAGCTAGATAAACAAACCTATACTCTCTTTTCTTCTCTATTGTCTCCTGGTCATTTGACTTTGTGACAGAATTTACTGTGTTCACATTTTACACCAATTGTATGACTCTTCAATGTCTATACATCCCACTGGGCAGAAATAATAGTCACCAATCTTGTCCACCATGGGTGCCTGGTTCCCTACAGTGTCCACCATTTTGAGACAATTTCAAGTTTGTTGTTGTGATGGTCATCGCAGGTTTTGAGATCCACCATGAAGGAGGAGCTGGAGGCCGCACAGATGAAATGTGCTCTGAGTGATTTGTTCTACAACCTCAACCTGTGTAAGCGGATCTGTCTCCTGTGTTTTACGAGGTGGGCCTCACACAGTTCCTATGAGAACAGCAGAGAGGGAACGCTATGTCTCCCTTCCAAGGGTACAATATGTATCGCTTGGGTTAGAGGTGGTGAGAGGGTTGTGGGTTTTTTTTTTTTTTTTGGGGGGGGGGGGGGCGTTGTCAGTCATGGGGCTTGAACTCTGGGCTTGGGCGGTGTCCCTGTGCTCCTCAGCTCAAGGCGAGCACTCTACTGCTTGAGCCACAGCGCCACTTCTGGTTTTCTGGTGGTTAATTGGAGAAAAGAGTCTCACAGACTTTCCTGCCTGGGCTGGCTTTGAACTGTGATCCTCAGATCTCAGCCTCCTAAGTAGCTAGGATTATAGGTATGAGCCAATGGAGCCCAGCGGTGAGAGGGTTTTGAAGCACTGACACAGAATTCACTATGCTGATTTTTCTGGATCACCAGCAATCAATTCTAAGAACTACAATTAAGGTGTAGACCATGATAGCTTTGTTGTTTGTGTCCACTGTAATGAAGGCAAAAATAGCAAAGGAAAAGTAAGTACGGCTCAACAAATACTTCCATATGTAAATAACCATCAGTAAGATCAAAATCAGATCAAATGTATCCTCCACAATACATGTTCCCCCTCAAAACAACAAAACCATAACAATGAGAACCTCATTATCATATAACCATTGTATGGCAAACCTAACATTACTACTTATAAAGGAACATTCATATAAGGATATACATTTATATATACATACATTTGAGTGTGTGTGTGTGTGTGTGTGTGTGTGTGTGTGTGTGTCCCTTCATCTGTCCAATGGTCCTGAGTCTTGGACTCAAGGCCTGAGCATGTCTATGAGCTTTTGTGCTCAAAGCTATCACTTGAGCCAAAGTCGCACATCCAGCTTTTTGGTAGTTAACTAGAGATAAGAGGCTCACAGACTCTTATCTAAGCCTGGACTGGCTTAGAACTGTGATTCTCAGATGTCTGCCTCCTAAGTATCTAGGGTTACTGGCACAAGCCACCAGCACCCAGCATACATTTCTATTTTAACAGCAACAGCTGGCTGCCTGGGCCAATACGACAATCAGTTGTACAATTTTAAACTTCTTTCTCTCTGTTCACTACAGATGTGCAATATGTGTGTCCTTTTTTGGCCTGTTTCTCAACCTCCAGGACTTGGGGAGTAACGTTTTCCTCCTGCAGATTCTCTTTGGTGTACTGAATTTACCAGCCAATTATGTAGCATTTCTTGCAATGAATCACCTGGGCCGTCGAATAAGTCAAGTCCTTTTCACGTCCCTGGCGGGGATATCCATTCTGGTCAACATCTTTGTGCCTCAAGGTGAGGAAAACACACAGGATAAAAAAGGAAAACGTTCTCTCCTTTCCCTCAGATCACCTCTGTAAGAAATAGACCTAAGAAAAAAAAAGAAAAGAAAAGAAATAGGCCTAAGAAGGGCACCAGTGGCTCACACCTGTACTCCTAACTACTCAAGAGACTGAGATCTGAGGATTGCCGTTCCAAGCCAGCCCAGGCAGGGAAGTCTCTGAGCCTCTTATCTTCACTAAACCACCAAAAAAGCCAGAAGTGGAGCTGTGGCTCAAGTGGCAGAGCTCTAGCCTTGAACAAAAAGCTCAGGGACAGCATCTAAGTCCAGAGTTCATGCCCCAGGACCCATACCAAGAAAAGAAAACAAAGAAGAAAGAGCCAGGAGGCTGAGATCTGAGGATCGAGGTTCAAAGTCAGTCTGGGCAGGAAAATTCATGAGATTCTTTTTTTTTTTTTTTTTTTTGGGGGGGGGTCTGGTCATGGGGCTTTAGCTCTGGGCCTGGGCGCTGTCCCTCAGCTCTTCAGCTCAAGGCTAGTGCTCTACCACTTGAGCTACAGTACCATTTCTGGCTTTTTTCTTTTTGCTTATGTGGTGCTGAGGAATCCAACTTAGGGCCTCATGCATGCAAGGCAAGCGCTCTACCACTGAGCCACCCTTCCAGCCCAAGTTCGTGAGATTCTTATCTCCAATTAACCACAAGAAAACAGGAAGTGGTGCCATGGCTCAAGTGGTAGAGTGCTCACCTTGAGCTGAAGAGCTCAAAGACAGGGCTCAGGCCCAGAGTTCAAGCCCCACAACTGACAAAAAAAAATAAATAAATAGGACAAATTGCTGTCTAAAATTTATGTTAGTCACACGTGTCAAAGCAGATGGGTAGAGTCTAGCATGCTGGCATTTCCTCTGTCCAGCTTTATCTTGTTACTCCAGCTTTAGGTACAAATTTACTTCCTGAATTCTTTGTGTGTCCACTCATGGGTCTCCTTTTTAGGTCAACACAAATGCAACCCTGGTTTCTGGAATTATCTTGACATGAAAAAACAAAGCTGGACACCAATGGTCCATGCCTGTTATCCTAGCAACTCTGAAGGCTGAGATCTGAGGATCACAGTTCAAAGCCAGCAAGAAAATCTGTAAAACTTATCTCTAATTAACCACCAAAAAGCTGGAAGTGCAGCTGTGGCTCAAGTGTAGAGTGCTAGCCTTAAGCAAAGAAACTCAGGAACAGTGCTCAGGCCCTGAGTTCAAGCCCCAGGACCTGCACACATACAAAAAAAAAAAAATGAAAAAGGGCTGGGAAGGTGGCTCAGTGGTAGAGTGCTTGCTTTGTATGAATAAGGCACTGGGTTTGATTCCTCAGCACCACATAAACAGAAAAGGCTGGAAGTGGTGCTGTGGCTCAAGTGGTAGAGCGCTAGTCTTCAGCTGAAGAGCTGAGGAACAGCACCCAGGCCCAGAGTTCAGGCCCCACGACCAACAAAAAGAAAAAGGAAAGAAAAGAATAGAAAAGGACAAAAGGAAGGAAGGAAGGGAGGGAGGGAGGGAGGGAAGGAAGGAAAAGATAGTGAAGTTCTGAATATCTCACTCCATCTTTATCCAGGAGCAAGAAGAACGAATACATTTATTTAGAACCTTTGCTTTACCATTATCAAAATAAGCAGATGTCTCGTGTCTTACCTTATTAGCCGCTGCAAGAACTGCTTCTATATAGCTTCTCTACTATGTATATTATACTTGTGCCCACTCCAATAAGGGTGATGCGAATGCGGATTCCAGCAGCTGGGACTTCCTGACTCTCCTGGTTCTTCCTCTCTCCAGAAATGCTGACCCTGCGCCTGATTCTGTCAACTTTAGGAGGATGCCTTCTGTATGCTTCCATTACTTGTTGTCTGACGCATTCAAATGAACTACTCCCCACCGTAATCAGGTACAGAACCTCGTGTGTTTCCTGTTAGGATCCAAACGCCTTTCTCAGATCATGGATTCATCGAAGGAAGAAAACTAGTACTGGGTAGTTAGCAAACGCAATCAGTTGTGGTTGGTGTTTTTTCATTGCTATGATAAAGGTGATATGGAATGATTATAGTAAGGTAAGGAGCACATTTCTTTTTGGACAATGTCACCCCTCTCCCACTCTCTCCCAGTTTCTCCTTCCTGTCTCTACCTGCTGAATTTGTTTGCCCTTTGTCGCTCCATTTCTGTGCCTTCCCTTGTGATTTTTCTAAAAAATATGATAGCCCAAGTTTCCAAATACTTTTCTGGTGTTAAGTCCACTTACATACCATTAATATACATCTCTTATTATCGTATGAGGCACTAATAAGGTAGGAGCTAGGAGTGATATAGTATTTTTTAAATGACAAAGAATTTTCAGCCGGGTGCTGGTAGCTTACATCTGTCATCCTAGCTACTGAGGAGGCTGAGATCTGAGGATCATGGCTCAAAGTGAGCCTGAGCAAGAAAGTCCGTAAGACTCTTTATCTTCAATTAGTCACCAAAAAAAGCCAGAAATGGAGCTGTGGTTCAAATGGTAGAGTACTAGTCTTGAGCAAAAAATAATTCGGAGACAGCACCCAGTCCCTGAGTTCAAGCCCCAGGACCAGCACACAAAAAAGTCTCTCAACTTAAGAAAATATGCTAGCAAATAAGGGAGCATATTTCAAATGCACAATTGTATTCTAAGCATTCTGATTCTAAATACTTAGTTGTGATATCTCTCATGATTGATGCAAATTGGTAAGTCACAAAGTATGAGTTTGTGTTAGTTGGTGCTGGCCCTGGGGCTTGAACTCAGGACCTGGGTGCTATCCCTGAGCTCTTTTTGGTCAAAGCTAACACTCTGCCCCTTGAGCCACAACTCCACTTCTGGCTCTTTTGTGGTTAGAGATAAGAGTCCCATGGACTTTCCTGCCCAAGCTGGCTTCGAAGAGTAATCCTCATATCTTAGCTTTCTGAGTTGCTAGGATTCCAAGCGTGAGCCCCAGGTGCCTGACTTTTATTTTTGTATTGTCTGTGCTCTAAGGGCAACAGCTTCAGGAATCATTGGGTTTACTGGGAGCATTGGGTCGGCCCTGGCTCCCCTCTTGATGATGCTGACGATATATTCTGCATCCTGGCCCTGGTTCATCTATGGAGGCTTCTCCCTCCTGGCCAGCCTTGCGGTCCTCCTCCTTCCTGAGACCAGAAACCAGCTTCTGCCTGACTCCATCCAAGACATTGAAAATGAGTGAGTAACACCAGTAGCTACCCCTACAGAAGTTGTGTGTTAATGCTCTGTGGTGAGAAGACAAAATTGAACCTGGAGCCACAGTCTCCTACGCAGGCTCAGACCCAGGCTCTCTCCAGCACTCAGTGTCTTTGGAATAGTCTCATCCTTTTTGAACAATGGCCTCATGTGTACCCTGAGACCCACACAGGCTACCTCTGTGCAGCCTGTACCAGTAAGTTTAGTGATAAACAGGAGAAAATTGGGTCTCCTCTGTCCTGCCTGCCCTCATGTGACACACACCAAACCCAGCACCCTTCCACCCAGTGAACTCATGGTACTGCCAAGTATTAAAGGCCTGAGGACTGTCTTGGTCTCTCGAGAATCTGGGAACAGAACTAAAACCCCTCTCACGTCTGGGGTGATATGTGTTGCCTTCTAGAATGAAAACCCTGAGGGGGAGGGAGGTGTAGCAAAGAGAGTGATTTTTTTTAAGTTAATAGTGGGGAAGGATTTTAAAAATATTGTATGCATCCCTTCTCTTTTCCAAAGACCCCTTTGGCCAATGCCCTAGAATTTAGGGCAGCAAAGCTACCTTTCCTAGTCCTGACCTGTGTGGGAGGCCTTTTGCTGTGTCTTCCTGGCAGAATCCACAGCTTTAACCCAAGCTGGTGGTGATCTTCACACTCTAAATTATGCATGTGTGCATGTATATTTTCATGAATGTGTTTATTGCTTTGTTAATTTCTTTGTGTTTGTCCCAGGACACAAGCCTCCAGAAAAGCAAAACAGAAAGATACTTTCATCAAGGTGACACAGTTTTAACCAATTCCAAGAACTGGCTGCTGATTAATTAAAAGGATCTTTCATAGCGACTGGTAAAGTCTGAAAAAGAGGACATTTAAAATTACAATTGGGATACTAAGTACTAAATGTAAAATCCCTATCAATGAAGCCAAGTGTTGGTGGTTCACCTCTGTAATCCCAGCTACTCAGGAGCTGAGATCTGAGGATCATAGTTCTAAACCAGCCCAGGCAGGAAGTCCATGAGACTGTTATCTCCAATAAACCAAAAAAAAAAAAAAAAAAGCTGGAAGTGGAGCTGTGGTGTAAGTAGTAGAACGCTAGACTTGAGCAAAAGAAAAGCTCAGGGACAGTGCCCAGGCCCTGAGTTCAAGCCCCAGGACTGATACACAAAAAGAAATCCCTATGACCAGGACACAAGAAAAAGTTTGAAAATAATTATAGTTCTTTAAGAAAACTAATATGAAATATCTGTGTAAATATCTAGAAACTAGCCTGGTTCTAAATGAGAAAACTGATTAAAATGTTAAAAACTGAGGCTGGAGACGTGGCTCAGTGGTAGAGGGCTTGCCTAGCATGCATGAAGCCCTGGGTTGTATTCCTTAGTACCACATAAACAGAACAAGCTGAAAGTGGAGCTGTGGCTCAAGTGGTAGAGTGATAGCTTTGAGCAAAAGAAGTTCAGGGACAGTGCCTGGGCCCTGAGTTCAAGCCCAAGGACTAGCAAAAAATGAATGTTAAAAAAAAAAACAAAAACCTAGGAATCTACTGCCATCTCATGTCATTCTCAACAAAATTGCCACAAACATACATTGGAGAAAGTAATTTTTGTAATAAGCAATAAAATTGGATATTCCCATGTATAAGAATAGCATTAGATCCTATCTCTAACCTCATTCAAAAAAATCAACTCAGCTGGGCTCTGGTGGCTCACACCTATAATCCTAGCTACTCAGAAAGCTGAGATCTGAGGATCACAGTTCAAAGCCAGCCCGGGCAGGAAAGTCCGTGAGACTCATCTCCAATAAACCAATAGAAAACCAGAAGTGGTGCTGTGACTCAAGCGGTAGAGCACTTGCCTTGAGCTGAAGAGCTCAGGGACAGCGCCCAGGCCCAGAGTTCAAGCCCCAGGACCAACAAAAAAAAAAAAAGAAAAAGAAAAATAGTTACCATCTATCCACCCAACATCCAAAATATATAAAGAACTAAAAAAAAAAAAAAAAAAAAAACACTGAACAATCCAATCAAAAAATAAACAAGTCAACTGAACAGATACTTTTCAAAAAATTTACAAATGGGAGCTGGGAAGGTGGCTCAGTGGTAGAGAGCTTGCCTAGCATACATGAAGCCCTGGGTTCAATTCCTCAGTACCACATACACAAAAAAAGCCAGAAGTGGTGTTGTGGTTCAAGTGGTAGAGTGCTAACCTTGAGCAAAAGCGGCTTGGGGACAGTGCCTAGGCCTGCGCTCAAGTCTAGGACTGGCAAAAAAAAACTACAAATGGTCAATAATCACATAAAAAAAAAAATCAGTATCTTCTGAGAGCAAGCTAGGAAAGGGGTGACATTGTCCAAAAAAGAAATATAAGAACTGTACTCTTTACCTGACTTACATAACTGCAATTCCTTTGTCTGTACATCACCTTTATAATAACAATTAAAAATGTAGGACTAAGAAGGTGGCTCAGTGGTAGAGCACTTGCCTTGCATGTATAAGCAGAAAAAAAAAAAGCCAAAAGTGGCACTGTGGCTCCAGTGGTAGAGCGCTAGCCTTGAGCTGAAGAGCTGAGGGACAGCGCCCAGGCCCAGAGTTCAAGCCCCACGGCCGACAAAAAAATTAATTAAAAATGTAAAATACACTGAAGCCAGGTGTATGTGACTCATGCTACTCAGGAGTCTGAATAGGAAGATTGCCGTTCAAAATCAGCCCAGGCAGGTAAGCTCATCAAATTTTTTTTTTTTTTTTTTTTGGGGGGGGGGTCTGGTCATGGGGCCTGAACTCTAGGCCTGGGCGCTGTCCCTCAGCTCTTCAGCTCAAGGCTAGCACTCGACCACTTGAGCCACATCGCCACTTCCAGCTTTTTTCTTTTTGCTTATGTGGTGGTGAGGAATCGAACCCAGGGCCTCAGACATGCAAGGCAATGCTCTACCACTGAGCCACCTTCCCAGCCCTCATCAGACTCATCTCCATTAAATCACTATAAAGCCAAGAAGTCGAGGTAGCTCAAATAGTATGTGCTGGCCTTGAACATAAAAAGCTCAAAGACAGAGTACAGGGCTTGAACTCAAGCCCCAGAACCAGGGATGGGGGGAGACTATCATAAAACAAACATTAGCTAAGTGAAATGACATGGGTCCTTGTGCCAGGTGTTCAGAAAAAAGATGAGAGGTTCATTTGAGTCTAGAAGTTAAAAGCCAGCCTGGGAGACACAGAAAGCTTTCCTTCTGTTACCACATTCACTGTATCTCATCTGGTATAGAGTATTTGCTGGTAATTGTGTTGGATGAAGATGTCAAAGGCCTCATTTGGGAGCGGCTGGACTTAATGTAAAGGAAACTTACTGATTTTCCATTGGGACAGTCCAATCCAATGGCTCAATATCTTCCTAGGTTTTCGAGGGGTTTTTTTGGGGGGTGTTGTTTTGTTTTTGTCAGTCTTGGAGCCTGAACTCTGGGCCTGGGCACTCTCCCTCAGCTCTTCAGCTCAAGGCTAGTGCTCTACCACTTGAGCCACAGTACTACTTCCGGCTTTTTCTGCTTATGTGGTGCTGAGGAATCGAGCCCAGGACTTCATGCACACAAGGCAAGCACTCTATACTAAGCCACCTTCCCATCTCCTTCCCATTCTTTCTGAAGTGAGACAGTAGCCTCCTTTGGGCTTCAATATGGAAAGGACAGTGTGTGCACACATTCACAGCTGGCCACGGCGAATCCCCTGCTTCCTATAGCATGTCACAAGTAGCAAGCAGGAAGGTCATCTCTTAGATAATATAGTTGTCTGGAAAATACATCAATGAATATAGCATTTAATTCACAACGTGATTTATATTCTTGTCAATCATGGGGCTTGAACTCAGGCCCTGGGCACTGTCCCTGAATTTTTTATTTTATTTTTTTTTTGGTCAGTTGGGCTTAAACTCCGGTCCTGATCCCTTAGCTCTTCAGCTCAAAGCAAGTGCTCTACTGCTTGAGCTACAGCGCCACTTCTGATTTTCTGGTGGTGTTTTGGAAATAAGAGTCTCACAGACTTTCCTGCCTGGGCTGGCTTTGAACCGTGATCCTCAGATCTCAGCCTCCTGAGTAGCTTATAGGCATGAGCCACCAACACCCAATGGGATTTATAAAGGAAGCTAACATTTCAAATCCTCTTTCATCTCTCCTACCAATAAGTTGTAGTCTCACTTTTTTTGTATGACTTTATTCCTGAGTTGTTAGGTTCTTATGGAATTATTTTTTTCTAAAGATGTTCAGATAGTTTATAGCTAATACATAGAAATACCATATTGACTTCTTATATAGGAAGCCTTACTGAACATATCTAATTATCATCCTGTAAGAGTATATTTGGAGATTCTGTAGAATTTTCTTCATACGCTGCTTAGAGTGAACATATTTGCCTTGCCCCTGATCTAGCCATTCATCATGAAATACATTATTTTCAGAGTTTTATGGATTTCCCTTTTGAGGTTAAGAAAGCTTCAATTGGCAGACTGCTATCATGCATGAAGAGTTTTGTCAATTGGGGATATTGGATCCTATGAACCAATCAAGATAATCACAATAATATATTCATCTATATTTCCCCAGTTCTATCCATATTGTTATAAAAAAAAATAAGTCTATGACTCCCTGGATACACAGTCCTTGCTCATCATTTAAATCAGATACACAAGATTTATCTGTTTGGTTTGAATGCAAATAAGCAGGTTACCAGATACTAGTTTCATAATAGCCTCCTAAAGATTTTTACAAAAGAAAAAAGAGCTTTAAAATCTTGTGCTTAATGCTCTGGTTCACCATCTTCTTAGTCTTGCTGGCTTACTGAATAAATCTTTTTCCTTGCCCCAAAAAACATGTCCTTGATTCTCTTATCCTTTTGTGCACGGTGAGTAAAACACCCTTGTGTTCCATAGCAGATCTAGACATCTTCTTTCTGAGAACACAGGCCAACCATAGACTGGTTCACTACGGGTTTCCTCCAGGAAGAAAGGAAGTCTCCCTGATAGCTGAGAAGCAATTCCTGATCAATCAAACAAGATTTGTGTGTGTTGGACTCTTCTAGATGAAACCAGCTAAAGGCAGGAACAAGGGAATCTCAAAGGCCTGAGCAGAAACCATTAAAATCACCCAGCCCAGCCAGCTCTTCCTCAGTGCCTCTCCTTCAGCCAAGTCTTAAATTCTTTGGAGAGAACTGTTCGTTCAGAACCTTACACATTTTCTATTCCTGCCTCCTTAACCATGAATGGCTAATCTAAGGCCAAAGATACATCATAAAACACATCAATGTAGTTCGTGGTTATTCAGCCATGACCAGAGACCTAGGGAATTTGCTATTTTCTCCAGGTAAAAGCTCCCTCCATGTTTCCTGCCTGTCTGCTTAGCTATTATAACCCTGCACAGATGGAAGCCAGCCTGGGCAAGATAGTCCGTGAGACTCTTTGTCTCCAACAAACTCAGAAAAAGCTGGGATTGGTGTTGTGGCTCAAGTGTAGAGCATTAGCCTTGAGCATAAAGAGGCTCAGAGACAGTGCCCAGGCCCTGAGTTCAAACCCCAGGAGAAAAAGGAAAAAAGGAAAAAAAATGGGGAAAAGGGATAACTCAAGTACAATCTCAAGTTAAAGAGCACAAAAACAAATGTGCTGAATGACAAATGTTTGATTTAGAATCCAACCTCCTTAGTGAGCTCTGAGTTAAGGAATGTCAGCAGGGACTGATATGTGAAAAGATGGCTAACAACATTACTAGGCAACAAATAATTTTACAGAAGTGAGTGCAAAATGTAAAAATGAAAGTGGTATAAAGAAAGAGGGAGAAAGGGAGGGTAAAAGGGAGGGAGGGAGGAAGAAGGAAGAAAGGAAGGAAGGAAGGGGGAGGGAGGGAGTTAAGCTGTTGGTCTCAGAAAATTATTGCTGAGGAAAGAAGAAAATCATCAGGCATTATGAAAACGGGCGCTGGTGGCTCACCCCCGTAGCTCAGGAGGCTGAGATCTGAGGATCGAGATTCAAAGCCACTTATAGACTCTTATAGCCAATAAACCACTTAGAAAAGCACAAGTGGCGCTGTGGCTTAAGTGGTGTAGCTCTAGCCTTGAGGTGAAGAGCTGAGGGACAGCGTCCAGGCCCAGAGTTCAAGTCCCACAACAGACCAAAAAAAAAAAAAAAAAAAGAGGCTGAGATCTGAGGACCACCAACATCATTTTTTTGATGATGTACCATCAACAAAAGATCTAGGGTATTTAGCAGTGATGTTACATGTTAAAATGTTTACATGGAGACAGTATTTTAAAATATTAACTCATCTCCCTCCCTTCCCCCTTTCATTTCTCTCTCCCTCACCCCCCCTCCATTTAATTTCTTCACTTATGCACAAAGATGACCACCATCTTACATAGCCTACAATGGAAATAGTTTAGAGCATGACTATAACAGGGTCCTCTTTCTCTATTATAAATGCCTCGTTGTCTGTCTAATGGTTATCCTAAGGAAAGCTGTTCTTTCCAGGTCAAGTGAATTATTAAACCTACACAGGAGTCCGCATGTCACTGGAAGGGAAATGTCCAAGTGAAACAGGCAAATATTTGACTTTGGGTTCACAAACATTTGTCCAAATGTTTGGTTTACTAAGCCTCTCATTTACCCAGTCATTCCACTGAAGACCAAGTATCTCTGAGAAGATCAGGAGTGGGTAAACACTTTCGGTCAGGTGTATGCATGGTCATCCCAAATAGAAAGGACAGACTGCCCCACTCCATAAGAAAGCAAGGATTTGAAAAGGTGTATTTATGTAGAGAATGTGAAAGTCATGGCAGAAGTTGGCCTCCATTTTACCTTCCCTAGGCACAGGTTGCCTTAAATTCTTCACGTGAGAAAATTCCCCTAACTGAAAAAAATATGTTTTGAATAGCTGTTCCATTTTCATCATGGATCTGTATGCTTTGAGTCTGCACATTTTTATTACATTACCTGTCAGTGCTCTGTTCTGCATGGATATTGATAACCTAGCCATACCACAGATACTCTGCTCTCTGCAGGCTCAGCTCCACCCGTATGCTTCAAGGACATTAATAAGGGCTCAGAATCAACACAGTTCACTTTGGCCACTCAATGTGTCTCCCATCCCTACAAATGGTTTTTAAGTCCGGTCTTTAAGTAGTGGGCTCAAAATAAACAATGACAATAGAGTGATTGGAACTAGAATGTGAATCAGACAGCACCCAGACCCTGAGTTCAAACCTCAGGACTAGGAAAAAAACACTTTCTTGTTGATGGGGTGGCTTAAGTAGTGAACTATTTGCCTAGCAAGCACAAATCCCCGAGTTCAAATCCCTGTAATGCTAATAATAAGTAAGCAAATTAATAAGTAATATAGTAGATAACACATTTTAAAAAAAGAGTCTGTCCTCTTGTTCATTCACAGCAGAAGTCAACATGTAAATGTTTGAAATATCCATCTGGAATCAGAATAAAAATCTCAAATTCTCTGCTAATTCTCAGGTAGAAAAACTAGAAGGGGGGGGTCGTCAATTATACTTTAAGTTGGAGATTTTTAAGCAATAAAGAATAAAGTTAATGGCTGGGTGCTCACACCTATAATCCTAGCTACTCAGGAGGCTGAGATCTGAGGATTGCTGTTCAAAGCCAACCCAGGCAGGAAAGTCCGTGAGACTCTTATCTCCAATTAATCACCAGAAAACCAGAAATGATGCTGTGGCTCAAGTGGTAGAGCACTAGCCTTGAGCTGAAGAGTACAGGGACAGTGCCCAGGCCCAGAGTTCAAGCTCCATGACTGACAAAAAAAAAAAGAAGAAGAAGAAGAAAGTTAATGTACAACTTTAGAAAGAAAATAGTCCTTGGCAATGAGTTCTCCGATTAAAGCACAGTTGGCACTGAGAGCGATCCCTTCCTCCCCACTCCCACAAACTACACTGTGGGCCCAAAAGGGCGAGGTTGTTATATGGAAAGAAACTGGAGACATTTTCACTGAATGGAAAGAACTTCTGCAAAGAGTTCTTCATTATTGGAAATGTTTAAACAGAAGCTCTCCATGATGTTCCTGAAGCTTTCCCAGCACTGCAGACTAGAGTTGGCCTAAGAAGCAAGCAAGGCTCCTTCCTGCAAAGAGAGGAAACTTAAATAAGTATAGGAAGTACTTAGCACTGTGGGTGGTTCTTAACGGATGGGCAATACACAGTAGTTCTTCCTCTCCTGCCAGTCCATGCATCTCTTATCACATATGTTAGAAACATTCTAGATTGTTCTAGAGGCTCCTGATTTTCTGAATGAGGGTGGTTGAGAGAGGAAGACAGGGGGAGGGAAGGAGGAGGCATGGCATCCTTGCTGGTGTCACTAGCTCCTCCTCTCTGGGGGGTTAGCAGGCCTGGGGCAGTTACCGGTTTGGGCTTTATGCCATCCACAACAGCCGAAATGACGACGCCTGCAGCCTTGGCGCCTTCCATCAGAATGTGCTCTACCTGAAAGCACAGCGGGTCACAGCCCATCAGTCCCCATCTAGGCCTTCTGCCCTCCCTCCTACACCTATGCCACGGGGAGGTTTTCCCTAGAGGAGCCAGCCTATGCCAGGCTGTATTTCCACAAAATCCTAGAGCTGCAAGAGCCCCAAGCAGCCAGGCTTGCTAGAGACAAGACACCCAAGGCAGATGGGCTCCCTTCCCCCAGGAAAGCATCCAGAGATTCTGGTTCTGTCTTCCTCAGAGCCATCAGGACAGGGTCTAAACTCCAAGGGGCTCAGAAGCAACTGATCTCCGCAGAGGATGGGCCACAGCCACTGAAGTCCTGGCCCAATGAACAGAGAATCTGAGAGGCCTGGAAGGGAACTCACCTGAGCGGAACTGCACAGTGAATTCGTCTACAAGCTTGGCTCTGGGCTTGGTGCTCGTGACTTTTGGGGGTAGGGGTCTTGAGAAGCCTTTCATTGTGCCCTTGGGGTCTTCTCTTCATGTACAAGTGTGCAGCAAATGAGAAGTCCCTCGTACCACGGCCCACCGACCCTGGCACTGGCAGAAAGCCTCACAAGAATGGACTACAGGCACACCAAGGATGCAAGATACAGAGGAGGAGGGAGAGAGAGAACTGAGAGGGAAGATGTAGACAGACAAGGAGGGAGAGGGAGGCTGGGGAAGACCTGCCAGTGCTCCCTAAAGGTGAGGAATAACAGAGAGACCAAGAACCAGGTTTGAATCCACTCTGTTTAGAGAACATAAGAAACAGAGGTGAAGCCAGATACCAGTGGCTCACATCTGTGATCCTAATTACTCAGGAGGTGGAGATCTGAGGATCATGGTACAATACCAGCCCGGGTAGGAAAGTCTATCAGAATCTCATCTTCAATTAACTAACAAAAAAGCCAGAAGTGGAGTTGTGGAGTTGTGGTTCAAGTGGTAAAATGCCAGCCTTGAGTAAAAAGAGCTCTGGAACAATGCCCAAGCCCTGAGTTCAAGCCCTAGGACTAGCACAAAAGAAAAGGAAGGAAGGAACGAAGGAACGAAGGAAGGAACGAAGGAAGGGGGGCTGGGAATGCGGCTCAGTGGTAGAGCGCTTGCCTTGCATGCCTGAGGCCCTGGGTTCGATTCCTCAGCACCACAAAAGGAAAAAAAGCCGGAAGTGGTGCTGTGGCTCAAGTAGTAGAGCGCTAGCCTTGAGCTGAAGAGCTGAGGGACAGTGCCCAGGCCCAGAGTTCAGGCCCCACAACCAGACCCAAAAAAAAAGAGAGAGAGGAAGGGAGGGAGGGAAGGAGAGAGAAATAGAGAAGAAGGAAGGAAGGAAGAAAGGAAAGAAGGAGACAAGAAAGAAGAAAAGAAACATAGAGCAAAAGCTAGGACAATAGAACAATCCACTTTCAATCCTTAGATTTTTTTTCCCCACCTATTTAAAAGGAGATAAATATATGCACTCGCTCTGCTTATCTTGTAGAGTTTGAGCAAGGATAGTTATTAACAAGAACAGCTCAAATTGTTGCAGATATTTTGCTTTTCAAGTCTCTAGCACATTAAGCTGATTGCTGCCCTACTGCGGGGGGGGGGGGGGGGGGGGGGGGGGAGGGCAATGTGCACAGAGCCGGCCAACAGCACTGCAACCGCTGCCCACCACCTATAGGCACAGCTTGGCCCTTCAGAGGGTCAGACACAGGGATGCTGGCCAAAGGGCTAGTTGCCTAGATGAGGAAAAGCTAGAAATCCAGATCTTTCTTATGTAACATTTCTATATTTTTTAAATGCTGGTAGTAACTCAACTTTTAAAATAATAATAATTCTGGGCACTGGTAGCTCACGCCTGTAATCCTAGCTAGTCAGGAGGCTGAAATCTGAGGATCTCAGTTCAAAGCCAGCCCGGGCAAGACCTTCTGAGACTCCTATCTCCAATAAACCACCAGAAAACCGGAAGTGGTGCAGTAGCTCAAATGGTAGAGCACGAGCCTTGAGCTAAAGAGCTGATGGACAGCGCCCAGGCCCAGAGTTCAAGCCCCATAACTGACAAAAATAAATTAATTAATTAAATAAAACAATATAATAGTAGTAGTAATAAATCCAAGATGTGGCCCACAGACTGGTAGGGGTTTTTTGTTTTTTGTTGGGTTTTTTTTGGGGGGGGGAGGGGGGTCGGTCATGGAGCCTGAACTCTGGGCCTGGGCGCTGTCCCTCAGTTCTTCAGCTCACGGCTAGTAGTGCTCTAGCACTTGAGCCACAGCACCACTTCTTGCTTTTTTCTGTTTATGTGGTGTTGAGCAATCAAACCCAGGGCCTCACGCATGCAAGGCAAGCGCTCTACCACTGAGCCACCTTCCCAGCCCAGACTGCTAGTTTTCAATTTAACAAGGAAATGTCTACTTTTAGTCTCCTATTTTGTAAAGGAAATTAAGAAAAAAAATGAAAACAAAAAAAAAAAGTCTCAGAAATAGAGTAACTTAACCAAAGAGATCACCCTAGCCCAGAAGAGAGGTAAAGATACCTCCTAAACTGCACACTCTACAATACATGAAAGCCCTGATAGCACAGCCCAGCGATGCCCGCTTTGACCACGAGGGACTGGCCCCAGGAGCCGCACCTGCTGGCTCCTGGGCACGCCGTATCTGAGGTCGTTGACGAAGTGCTCGCAGTTCCCTTCCATCAGGCTGTACTGCACTATCTTGTTGACCATGTTTCTGGTGCGCTGCATGATCTTCTCCACAGGGAGGGGCAGGTATGTCCCGTCCAGCTTGTTGCTGATCTTCCAGGAGCAGCCATGGAGCACGTCCTCCAGACGGCTGTATTTTACCACTGCGCGGTTGCTGAAGATCGAAGTGATGCTACGGGCCCCAATTCCTTCAGCTGAAGAACAAAAAGCAAGAGAGACCCAAGGCCTGGTGGGTAGTCATTTAGAAACCACTAGATGATTTCTGAGTGTCGTCCCTTTAAAAAAAAAAAAAAAAAAATGAGAAGTTAGCTTGGCACCTGAGCCCACACCTGTGTAATCCTGTCATCCTAGCCACTCAGGAAGCTAGAGGCTGAGATCTGAGGATCGCAGTGCAAAGCCAGCCAGAGCAGAAAAGACTCTTTTCTCCAATTAACCACCAAAAAAAAAAAAAAGAAAGAAAGAAAAAGGCCAGAAGTGGAGCTATGGCTCCATGAGTGGTAGAATACTAACTTTGAACAAAAGTATAGAGACAGGACCCAGGTTCAAGCCCCAGGGCCAGCGCGCGCGCGCGCGCGCGCGCACACACACACACACACACACACACACACACACACACACACACACACCACTCAGACTAAATCGAATGCTTATTTCTTCTTACTTTCCATTTCAGTCCTCTTCTGTAATATTTTGTTTCAAGAGACAAACTATAGGCCAGGCGCTGGTGGCTCACTCCTGTAATCCTAGCTACTCAGGAGGCTGAGATCTGAGGATCATGGTTCAAAGCCAGACCAGGCAGAAAAGACCCTGAGACTCCTATCTTCAATAAACCACCAGAAAACCAGAAGCGGCACTGTAGCTCAAGTGGTAGAGCGCTCGCCTTGAGCTGAAGAGCTGAGGGACAGCTCTCAGGCCCAGAGTTCAGGCTCCATGACCAACAACAAAAAAAAAAAAAAAGAGAGAGACAAACAATACTGATGTCTTTTACATTAGTTGAAGTGACGGGGCCATGATTTTAAGATTTCTGGGGAAAAAGGGAGCTAATTATTGGAAGAGCAGCTCCGAGTGCAAAGGGCTTGCCCCTGGGCTTAGCGTGATGGGGAGGGAGCCCACAGGTGTCTCGCATCTCATTATAAGCTCTTCCACACTGTGCTGTTCTCTTCCTTCTGAGACCGGCTGTCACGGAACAGGACTGCACACAGAGATGATCTGTGAACCAGCTCTGGTCAAAGGCTTTCTACTTCGAAAGCTCAAGACTTGCCCAGGATACAAAATTCAAAAGAAATCCTCCCAGGCCCGGCTCCTCCTCGGGCAAGCTCTGGGAGCTGCGGCTCCTGATAGCCATTTTAAATTGCTTGACATCCTGTGCCCCCAAGTACCACGTGCCTCTCCTCTCCCATCTCTTCTCCACAAGGCCAAGCCTCCTGTCACCTGGGCCTTGAGAAACGGACTGAGGACTGGGCCTGCATGGCGGAAAGCAGCCTGCAGGATAAAGACTTCCACTTTGGGCAGGATGAGGAAGAAGGCCCGAGCAAGATTTGAGGACACCAGGAAACACTGCCCACACCCCACCCATGGGACCTCCAGAAATATGGAAAGGATGTTCAGTTGTCAGTACAAACATGAAGGCTCGGAATCCTTTGATTTGTAATGGAAAGAGGGGCGGGGGTGCTGGTTCTGGGACTTGAGCTCAGGGACTGGGCACTGTCCCTGAGTTAGTGTCTTAGCACTTGAATCACAGGTCCACTTCTGGCTTTTTTAGGTGGCTAATTAAAAATAAGAGTCTCACAGACTTTCCTGGCCAGGCTGGCTTCAACTTGCAATCCTTAGATCTCAGCCTCCTGAGCAGCTAGGATTACAGTTGTGAGGCATAGGTGCCTGGCTAGATTATTTATTTATTATTTATTTATTTATTTTGGCCAGTCCTGGGGCTTGAACTCAGGGCCTGGGCACTATCCCTGGGCTTCTTCTGCTCTAGGCTATCATTGTATCACTTGAGCCACAGCGCCACTTCTGGCTTTTTCTGTGCATGTGGTACTGAGGAATCGAACCCAGGGCTTCATGCCTGCTACGCAAGCGCTCTACCAGGAAGTCGCATCTTCAGGCCCTAGGTTTTTATTTTTGAAGGGTGGTTAAAAGGCCAGGGAGTTTAGGGGACACTGTACACGTGTGCCACTCCCATAGCTAGACGCTCACTGGCTACTGGTGAACAGAGACCCAGCTCTTCGGCCCAGAGAGTAAATCAAGGCCCGGGAAGGGCCTCGGCGGCAGGGAGCACAGTGATAACTCTGCTCCTGGCTCCTCTGCTAAGAACTTGCCCGTGGCTATTTCCGGGGCGCGTCCCTCTTACTCGGGGGGGCCAGGTGGACCACACAGTCGTCTTCCACGTAGATGGCCCAGTGCTCGTAGCCAATTCGAAAAATCTCAATCAGGTCTCCAGGTCTAGGTCGTGGTTTGACCTGCGGCGGGGGGAGAAGAAGAGGAGATAAGGATGAACTGCACCGGCTCTGTCCGGGGAGCCGTGGCGGCCCAGCTTTTGGATCTCACTAAGGTTCCTCCCTTGACAGAACCAGATCCAAGCTGGAGAGCGGTCTCTCCCGCTTCCCCTGCACAGCGGCAGCCGCCACGGCTCTGTGCCAGCCAACAACACACTGTGTCTCAGCTCAGGATGCACCAACACGTGCCAGTGAGGAGGGTCTGAACCTCTTCACCCCCACATGGTAAGCCTTCCGGGTGTGGGGCACCAGAGGGGCACTGCAAGAGGAAGGGACTCGCGCAGTCACAGCAGGGGTGGGGTGAGCTGGGGGGGGGGGGGCGCTGCTCAGCGGTGTGGTGTGAAGATCTCTGTCTCAGCACAAAAGGTTGCAGGCTTGACCCAGACGTAGCCTGACAGGGGCTACCAGGGCCCCAAATCCTGCTGCCCCTTCCCGCCCCTGATTCCTCTGCCAGTCTGCTGAAGGATCCACCTGCCACCTAGAGAGCCCCCCTTCTCTGCACCCCCACACACCAGGGGCTGGGCCCCTCCAACCTATGAGAGACTATGAATCAACTCCAGACTGAAAAAATCAGTGGAGCTCTGTTGTCTCCAAGGACGTCCAGACCTCTTCCCAGCATGTCCTCTGAGCCCTTGCCATCGCCCTGGGAGACCCCGTGGAGGCTCCTCCCCCTGTCCTAAAAGCAGTCTTTTAGCATGGCTTAACACTTCTACCAACTCACTGTGTGCTTCTGGGGGGTGGGCTGGGGGGAGGCAGGAAGGAGGAAAGGAGGGAGGGAGAGAGGGAGAGAGGGAGAGAGGGAGGAATATACCTGCCCTGGCTAGCTTTGAAGCATAATCTGTATCTCAGGGAGAGAGAGAAGGGGAGGGGAGGGAAGGGAGACAGGGAGAGAAGAGGAAGCCACAGCCATGGAGACTACCAACCACCCCGCATGCCCATTCGCTTCCCTGTACCATGCCCCTTATACCAAATTCACAACCAGTTTCCTTTTTTTTTTTTTTTTTTTTGTCAGTCATGGGGCTTGAACTCAGGGCATGGGCGCTGTCCCTGAGCTTTTATGCTCAAGCCTAGTGCTCTACAACTTTGAGCCACAACGCCACTTCCAGTTTTCTGGGGATTAATTGGAGATAAGAGTATCACGAATTTTCCTTCCCCAGGCTGGCTTCGAACTACAATCCTCAGATCTCAGCCTCCTGAGTAACTAGGATGACAAGCATGAGCCACAGCGCCTACCTCATTTACATCTTTAAACCTATCTTAATAGGTATCTGCTAACTCCAACATCTAGGCCCACTAGAAAACCGTCCCTACTTGTTACCCTTTTTCTTGTGTATAGGTAGTTTTCCTGGTTCTCTGCGCATATCATAATAAGTTGTTGGAACCCAGACGTTTTAGGGAATATATCGTAGTTACTCTGGATTCCGATTCCTGCTCCCCACCCAGCTGGTAGTTGTTGCTGTTTATTTGGTAAGTTATCCACTTACAGTAATTGTGCCACACTAGGTAATGTATCTACTTGGGTGTTTTCCCTTGTTTTTACTTTTAAGCCAGACTCCTTGGATCAGCATAGCTTAATAGTCAGCCAGTGACCAATGAGAGACTGTCACTCCTGAAGGAAAGGAAGGCGAATTGGTGATGTGACAGTAGCAGACAACATGTGACCCATCGTAGTGCTTCCTGTTCCCACAGTGCCTCACTCGCCTGCTCAAAATGGCGCCTCCTCTTCCCGCAATGCCCTAGGTTTCTGTTCAAAATGCTACGTAAGGAGATAATGCCTCGTGAATGACCTGGCATGACCAAGCACATGCACTTCTGTACCTGTGCACAGCAGTACATGACCATGGGGCTTAATCCCTGCTTGTGCCCTGTGGCAGAAACTAAACAGGAAACCAAGCAGGCACGTGGGCCCTCACTGCCCAATTCCTCCCAGGTAGGCCACTTCCTTGAGGGACTTCAATGGCTCTAAGACCCCTCTTCACAGAGAACCGGCAGCCTACCTTGGCTTTTAACAAATGTGCTGCTTTACTTCTCTGCCCCTCTGCCACTGAATTCTTTATCTGGCAGAGAAATGGATCCATACGCCTAGACAGCACAACTCCTAAAGCCAGTAAGGCTTCACCTTTGTGGATCTCCATGTGGCATGGAGAATTCATTCAAAGGCCCAGAAGTTGGTAAGATGGAATCTGGTTACAAGGCCTGTGTTTACCTAATAATAACTGACTCACTAAGGTCCCCTTGTCTGGCTCTGAGTGTGTCAGTCCTGTACACTTTCCAGACAACATGTGATCATCTCAAGACCCATAGCGATCCCATTGCCTACATTTCCATGTTGCATTTCTGACTGGCCTGTTGGTCTCCTATGTGTCAACCACAGGCTGCCTGTGCTTCTGGCCTTCCATGATGATGTGTGGCTGAGCCAGTGATTGCACCGCTGTGTGGGCATTGTTCTCCCCTGTGGAGTAAAGTCATTCATTGTCTTCCATGCTGTCAGTGTTCCAGGCATGTCCTGCCCACCGCAACACCTGAAACACTGTAGACTTCCACTGTTCTTTCTGGGACTCCGTAGACTTTCTGGGACTCCGCAAATCACTTAGTTCACTGTCTACCTTGAGCAAATTTCCAGACAATTTTTCTTTGGGGGGGGGGGGTGGGATTGGTCCTGCAGCTTGAACTCAGGGCCTGGGCATTGTCTCTGAGCTTCTTTGTGCTCAAGGTTACTGCTCTACCACTTGAGCCACAGCACCACTTCCAGCTTTCTGAGTAGTTTATTGGAGATAAGAGTCTGAAGGGGACTTTTCTGTCTGGGCTGGCTTTGCACCATGATCCTCAGATCTCATCCTCCTGAGTAGCTAGGATTACAGGCGTGAGCCAGCAGTGCCTGGCCCCAGGTTCTTTAAATGACTGGCTTAGGCAATTCCTTCGAGCTTTATCTTTGCTTTTGGAGGGGAGCTTGTGAGGAAACCTGCACTTGTTCTGCATATCCTGACTCACTGTGGTAATTTCTCTCTATGGACACAGAACAAACTATCTGTGCCCCAACACTTCACAGATAGAATTGAAGCCCAGAGAGATCATTATTATTTCTTCACCCTGAAGTTTCCATACCAAGTCCGCGGCAGAACTAGATCTGTACCCAAGCAACTCTCTTTCCACCTTAAAAGCGAAATGTAATAGTAGCTGACCATCCACTAGGGGGCCCCCCAATCCAGGATTCAAAATCCAGAAAGCAAAATGGCATTACAGAATTAAAATTGGACTTCATTTTCTTTTGCTGTAGGGCCAAAGAGAGAGAAGTGTCTATGCAACTCCCTGAAACCTGCAAGTGGTAAGCGTTAAGTACTGTAAGGACAGAACATAAATGAAGGCTCAGGGCACACACACAGAATATGATAACAGCAAATGGCTCTGGAGGGCCAGCAAACAGGTAAAGGAGCAAGCCAAGAGAGGGAAGGCGCAGAGAGGAAACTTTCTTAAGCAGTCAAGCTATCCTTGAACAAACCTAACTCCATCTCACTCTTCCTGAGCACAGATCACAGAACCTGGGGTTCCTGCCCAGTGGCATTTCTCCTTCATCCCAGCTACCACGCCGGCGGACGGTCACATCTGTTCCTCTTGGCCACATGTGGCAGTGTCACACACTCTAAATTTCTCCCCATAAATTGGTTACAGTGAGCACAGGCCAACAGCCTTGATTACACACTGAGATCACCCACAGAACGCTGACAAGTTTAGAGTGGTCTGGTCTGTGGCCTGGGTGCCAGAGTTCTAAGCACTCACCAGGTGGCACACAGTCACCTTCCCCTTTCCCATCCCCCCAGTCTTCCATGGACCATGGGAACCTCACTCACAGACCTCCAATACCAACGCCAGGCTTCCATCTCAGGGTAAGGCTTTTTAAAAAAAAAAAACTTTTTCTGGGCTGGGAAGATGGCTCAGTGGTAGAGTGCTTGCCTTGCAAGCATGAGGCCCTGGGTTCGATTCCTCAGCACCACATAAACAGAAAAAGCCAGAAGTGGCACTGTGGCTCCAGTGGTAGAGCGCTAGCCTTGAGCTAAAGAGCTGAGGGACAGAGCCCAGACCCAGAGTTCAGGCCCCATGACTGGCAAAAAAAAAAAACTTTTTCCTCTCCTTTTAGAAGAAGCTGTTACTTCAAAACCTCCCCATCCATCTGCTGCTCATTTCCTTTCCACAGGCTGACAACCCGGCTCGGGCCCTTCTCCCAGACCCAGCACCCACTAGGAAGAACTTGTCTCTCAGAGGCCTCCATGGGTAATAATAGACTATGAAAGCATTAATAAACCTAACAGGCACGGTGCAGGGAAGTGGTTAGAATTTGCAGGTGGCAAAGAAACAGGAGAAAGGTCACCAAAAAATAGCGTTACCTTTCAACCCTTGGGAGCGGCTGCTGGTAATCCTATCTACTCAAGGGTCAGTTCAAAGCCAGCCAGGGCAGGGAAGTAAGTCCATAAGACTCTTATTTCCAATTAACACCCAAAAAAAAGCCAGAAGTGGAGCTGTAGCTCAAATGGTAGAGAACTAGCCTTGCGCACAAAAGCTCAGAGACAATACCTAGGCCTGGAGTTCAAGCCCCAGGTCTCACACACACACACACACACACACACACACAAGCTAGGGGCTGGTGGCTCAGGCCTGTAATCTTAGCTACTCAGAGGAGGCTGAGATCTGAGCTTCAAAGCCAGCCTGGACAGGAAAGTCCATGAGACTCTTATCTCCAATAAACCACCAGAAAACAGGAAGTGGTGCTGTGGCTCAAGTGGTAGAGCATTTGCCTTGAGCTGAAGAGCTGAGGGACAGCACCCAGGCCATGAGTTCAAGACCCACAACTGCCACAAGAAAAAACAAAAAAAAACAGTGAAGCTCCCAGACCACTTCCAAGATGTACTGAGTGAGTCCCTGGTCAGTCAGTGGATCAGATGTGGAAAGACGGGAGAACATCACCTAGC